TTTTCCTCTCTGAGCCCTTCACGCCCGACTCCGCCGACCCCTTCTTTTGATGTCCAATTTCGCATAGGCAGGAAAAGCATGTTTCAATTTCAACACTGCAGCCTCTGATCTTCCTTGCTTCCCATCTTGTTGCCGGCTACTAGAGCTTCAGGTCTGCCATTGAATGGCTGACTCACGCGTGTTGGTTTGACAGACCTGCCCGGTCTTGCGAGAAGCGTTTGCGCTTCGCTTTCTCACTCACCCGGCTCTCTCTATTGTCTGCAGGGCTCTCCAGGTCCCGCTCCCCCGAAAGGATCCCCAAAACACGGTGACAAGCGGTGTTGAGGAGTAACGATCACTCACTCAGCATCATGTCGCTGCAGCTCGTCAACCGGAAGTCTCTTTCTTAACTTTTCATCCACACCTAATAGTATCTGATCAAGTATTGTTGGCTCTTTATAGAAACCATATTTCTCTACATCTTTTTCGCATCTTGACTGTATTTGCAAGTGTGGCCACCATGCGAGGTCCACCCCTTGATTTGGCAATTCCTGTTTAGTTTCAAGTTCCCCTTCCTCATTTAAAATATCTTTATACGTTACAATGTTTCCCAAGTTTATCCCATTTGCATGCATCAGTGCTTCCATTGTTGAAAGCCAGACTGGTATTTTGATATATAATAATAATAATAATAATAATAATAATAATAATAATAATAATAATAATAATAATAATAATAATAATTAATTTTATTTCTATACCGCCCTTCTCCCGAAGGACTCAGGGCGGTGTACAGCCTATTTAAAAACAGAATAGACATCAATTTAAAATAATTTAAAAGTATTAAATAAATTTGGCTTAATTTAAAACCCCAAAAATTTAAAACATCCAATTTAAAATTATGTTGCTAACCCAGCCTGGCGGAACAATAGGGTCTTAAGTGCGCAGCGAAATACCCGGAGGTCAGAAATCTTGCGAATTTCCGGGGGCAGTTCATTCCACAGGGCTGGGGCTCCCACAGAGAAGGCCCTCTCCCTGGGTGTCGCCAGCCGACATGACTTGGCCAATGGCACCCTGAGGAGACCCTCTCTGTGGGAGCGGACTGGCCGGTGGGAGGCTATTGGTGGCAGAAGACAATCTCAAAGGTACCCGGGTCCTGTGCCATGGAGCACTTTAAAGGTGGTGACCAACACCTTGAATCGCACCCGGAAGACCACTGGGAGCCAGTGCAGCTCGCGCAGGAGGGGTGTCATGTGGGCGCAATGGGTTGCACCCATAACCACCCACGCAGCCGCATTCTGGACCAGTTGGAGCCTCCGAGTGCTCTTCAAGGGGAGCCCCATGTAGAGAGCATTACAGTAGTCCAACCGGGAGGTAACAAGGGCGTGAGTGACTGTGCGCAGGGTGTCCCGGTCCAGAAAGGGCTGCAACTGGCGAATCAGGCGGACCTGATAAAAGGCCCCCCTGGCCACGGCCGTCATATGCTCTTCTAAAGACAGCCGTGCATCCAGGAGGACACCCAGATTGCGAGCCCTCTCTGTGGGGGCAAAGATTCACCCCCAATAGTCAGCGATGGCACCTGCTGACTATATCGGGACGCCGGAAGCCACAACCACTCGGTCTTGGAAGGGTTGAGTCTGAGCCTGTTCCTGCCCATCCAGACCCGCACAGCCTCCAGGCAGCGAGACATCACATCAAGGGCATCGTTGGGGTGGTCTGGGGTGGAGATGTACAGCTGAGTGTCATCAGCGTACAGATGACACTTCACCCCAAAACTATGGATGATCTCACCCAGCGGCTTCACATAAATGTTGAACAGGAGGGGCGAGAGGACCGACCCTTGCGGCACTCCCCATGCGAGATGCCTCGAGGTTGACCTCTGTCCCCCTGCCAACACAAACTGCGAGCGGTCAGAGAGGAAGGAGGAGAACCACCACAGAACGGTGCCCCCTATTCCTAACCCCCTCAACCACCGCAGCATGATATCATGGTCGCTGAGAGATCTAATAGGACTAGGACAGAGGAGCAACCCCTGTCCCGAGCCCTCCAGAGATCATCCACCAACGTGACCAATGCCGTTTCTGTGCTGTACCCCTGCCTGAAGCCCAACTGGCACAGGTCCAGATAGATAGCTTCATCCAGGTGTCGGGGAAGCTGTCGTGCCACCACGGTCTCAACAACCTTCGCCACAAAACGAAGGTTGGAGACCGGACGGTAGTTGGCTAATTCAGCCGGGTCCAGGGAAGGCTTCTTGAGGAGGGGCCTCACTACCGCCTCTTTCAAGGTGGCAGGAAAGGCACCCTCGCTCAGAGAAGGAGTTATAATCCCCTGGAGCCAGCCTCGTGTAACCTCCCGGGAGGCCAATACCAACCAGGAGGGACACGGGTCCAATAAACACGTGGTGGCACTAATCTTACCCAGAACCCTGTCCACATCCTCGGGAGCCACAGGATCAAACTCCTCCCAGATAACATTCTCAAGACCTGCCCTCGTCTCCTCCCGTGGACTCATCCAATCGGAGTCCAAGCCATCCTGAATCCGAGTGACTTTATCATGCAGGAATTGCACAAAATCCTCAGCACGATCCTGCATTATTATTATTATTATTATTATTATTATTATTATTATTATTATTATTATTATTATTATTTTATTTCTATACCGCCCCTCTCTCGAAGGACTCTGGGCAGTGTACAGCCTATTAAAAACAAAGAATACACAATTATCAAAATTTAAAATTATTAAAAATATTACACAATTTCGGCCCAGATTAAAACCCCCAATTTAAAACTCCCAATATAAAATAATTACATAGTTAGCCCTGCCTGGCGAAACAGTAGGGTCTTAAGGGCACAGCAAAACACACGGAGGTCGGAGATCTTGTGTATTTCCGGGGGCAGTTCATTCCACAGGGCAGGGGTCCCACAGAGAAGGCTTTTCCCCCTGGGTGTCACCAGCTGACATTGCTTAGCCGACAGCACCCTGAGGAGTCCCTCTCTGTGTGAGCGGACTGGCCGGTGGGAGGCTATTGATGGCAGAAGTTGGTCTCGCAAGTACCCGGGTCCTAAGATATATGTTTTTGGCTTTAACCTTTTCCCATACTAGGAGTCAGTGGTGGGATTCTGCCGGTTCTAGGAGGTTCGGCCGAACCGTTTGTTAAATTGCTGGCTCGCCCCACCCCTTACCCCGCCCCTCCGCACCACTGGGTGGTGGGTGAGCCAGCAATTTAACAAACGGTTCGGTGTTTTTTATAATTTTTTTGGCCTCGCAGCTGCCGCGGGGCTTCAAAGGGCCGCCCTACAGCTGATCAGTGTTAAAAGAAAACAAATGAGTAGACCTACGCCTGCAAAAATAAATGGGTAAACCCAGTGGTGGGATTCTACTTTGGTAGAACCGGTTGTTAAGTAGTTACGCCAGTGGTTGCCAAAGTGGGCGGTACCACCCCCTGGGGGGCAGTGGGATGCCTTAGGGGGCGGTAAGAGGCAAGGGGGGTGGCAAGGGGGCGGTAGAGGCAAAAGGGAGTGACGGGGGGGCTAAGTGGCAAGGAGGATGGCTCCCACCCTTTGGCCTGTGCCTCGCAGCACTTACCTCCTTGCAAGCAAACAGCAAGAAAAACAGCCCCTTTCAGCTTCAGCATCGGTTAATTAGCACAAATTGATTAGATCGGCCTCCCGACTGTCATCTGTTGCAAAGAGTGCTGGAGCAGGTTTTTGTCCCCCTAGCTATGCTGAAAAAGCAAAACTGAAAGTAAAACAGAGTCTTTGCTGCAACGTGACAAAATGAGGCAGAGAGCGATTTCTTTTTCCTCACCAAAAAAGGTAGGTGCAAAACTGCAAACAATGGGAAATTTAGGGCAAAAGAGGAGAGTTCAGGATTTTAAAACACAAAAGAAAAAAACTCTATTTAACTAGGGAATTGTAATAATTGAGTTACTATTAATTGTATATTGTGTTGAAAGCAGAAATGGTTGAGTTGTGGTTTGGAGAAATATATGAGGGAAATTATTTGGTTTATTATTATTGGTAAATATAATTAATTGATTTATAAGAAATTGGATTGCATAGAAATAATTGGAATATTCATGTTCATATTGATTAATATACAAAAAAGATAGTTATATAACTAATTGATTTATATTAAAATGTTGAATTTGTATTAAGCAACTGTATTACATAATTAACCAATGTGAGGATGGATATAAAAATAGATGACAATGGGAAGGGGTATAATATAGAATAGAAGGGAAAAACTGAATTTGATTAAGATTAGAGATGAGGATGAAGGGTAATATTGTTTTTTTTTAAAAAAATAGATGAGGAATAAATATGGCAAAAAGAAAATATAGAAATTGTAAATTTAATTGAAATGACTAAACACTGTTTAAATTTGTGAACCGGCCAAATTGAACAGAGTATTACATGCATACAAACATACAATGTATTTTCTTTGAACAAAGAAAATACATTGTATGTTTGTATGTGTGTTTCTAATTATTGCTATTTATTCATATTTGTTCTCTTTTATTCTTTAAAGTTTAACAATTCATTCTTTATCTTAATATCTTTATATTTGTTTGGGGTTGGCTTTCTTTCCTTTCATCTTTTTTATTGTACAGCAATCTTTCTCCTCAAACCTACCACCTCTCTCTTTTCTTTCCTTCTTACTTTCTCTTCCTCACCCCTCTTCTTCTCCTCCCTACTTCCTCTTCCTTTCTCCTTCTCCTCCTCTCTTCCTCCCTCTCTTACCCTCCCTCCTACTCTAATTTCCCTTCCCTTCCTTCATCCCTCTCTATTGGTGTATCCTTTTATGCATATGGACTACTCAGAGGGCTGAAAACGTTATTTTTGACTGGTCCTCACACTTTTGACCAGTCCTCGAACTTACGACTGTCCTCACAATTTATGTTTTTGCCCTATCTTGTCACCATGATGAAGAGAAGGAGTATTGAAATGACTGATACGGTTGTTAGGAATGCCGCAACGGGCATAAATGTGAGGATGGTCATAAGTGCGAGGACCAGTCAAAAGTGTGAGGACCAGTCAGAAATGACTTTTTTCAACCCTCTGAGTAGTCCCTATACACATAGCCATGCCCACCCGGTCACATGACCAGCTAGCCACGCCCATGGGGGGGTGTCACATGACCAGCTAGCCACGCCCACCCGGTCACATGACCACTAAGCCACACCCCCAGCTAAGCCACGCCCACAGAACCGGTTGTTAAAAAAATTGAATCCCACCACTGCTAGGAGTGGAGCATTCCTTACATAATGTCTGTGAAAGTATCTATAGATCCTCACAGCTGGGATCTTCATGTCTGAAACCTAAGTTCTCTCTCCCTCTTCCCTCCCCCCATAATTGGTTGGAAGCAGAGAAGCTGTGATAGTTGCAAGAGCAAAATCTCCTTTGGAAGCTTGAAGGAGCCTTTGGGAGGAGAGGCTCAATTAGAGAGACTTCCTGGTCTCTGATGGAAACAATCAGAAGTTGGGTCTTTTGTTGATGTTCATCATGTCTTCTGTGTAACAAGGAGCACAGGTGTTCTTGTACACTAGGTCATCAATCATGGTCATCAGTTCAGCCACCTGAGCCTCTCGTTCAGCTCCTGTGGCCCAGTTGTTGAAAGCCAACATCCGGTTCCCACATTCAATAATGTATTTCTTCAGATTTTCCCCTCTGGAATACATAAAACTTTGTAGAGATTTACCTTCCAGGCGATCTTTCTGGGTGAGCAAAAGGATCGTGTAATCCTTGGCTTTAAGGCCAAAAACCTCTTTGATCTGCTGAACCACGTTCGTCTCCCACTGGAAGGAAAAAAAAGGATGCATCACGTGCAGAATGACGTGGGGACCTGGAGAGCAAAACTTCATGCACTTTCTCACTTCTGCAGCAGTATCCTTGTCTGGACGATGGGAAGAGGAAAATCCAGGCGTATCAACAACCACAACCTTCCTGCCCTTCAGCTGCGCCTCCTCCTTTTGGCAGTTTTGTGTTACTGGCAGAAGTGACTGCCTAGACTGAAAGACTTCCCTTCCCAGGATTGTGTTTCCCGTCGCACTTTTCCCACTTCTCCAATTGCCCACCAGGACGATCCTCCGTTCAGGCCCTGCAACCCAAAGGGGAGAGGAGAGAAAAGGGGGATTGGTCAGTAGTGTAAAGCCTGTCCCTCCACCCAGGACAGCTGCTCCCACCCCCTCCACCCCCCCCACCCCCCAGGGACCAAGACTTTACCTTGGATGCTTCCAGCCATTTCCAGACCAGTCGCACAGCACAAAAGCCGGGATTTCTGGGCGAAAAGAGAAACAGAGTCAGCCAAAGGAGAGGCTGCCTTGCAGGGAGGTTGCAGAAACTCTCTTCCCCCAGAAGACACAGGGAGGAATTGGGGGGGGGGTTAAAAACGAGCCACCCCCTCCTCACTGCCCTTGAGGCAGACCCATCTGATCCTTCCCCCCCCACACCACAACCCCCCTTTTTATGCAGCCCTTCAATTCTTGGGACCCAGCACTTTGGGGGTTTCAGAAAAGGGGGTGGGAGGGGTTGATGTCCAAAGTGGCTGTCAGCTCCCCACAGCCAACTTCGTGCTCGAAGAGACCCTGTTCTCTGGGGCTTCAGCTGCTCCTATCGCAGCGCCACATTGTCTCCAAGGGTCCCCCCAGATCCTCTTCCTCTAGGTTACCCCCTCCCCTCCCCCGCCCATCACTCGCGAACCCCCCTGCCCCATGGCTCTCCTCCCTGAGTGGGGAGTGGGGGACTTTGGGGGTCTTCTCATCCAACCTCTGCTCGAGCAGGAGGCCCTATATAATTTCACCCTTGGTGTCCTTTCTTAAAAATCTCCAGAGATGGAGCACCCACAACTAATATCAGGCTATTCTAATTCTCCTCCTCCTCCTCCTCCTCCTCCTCCCCCTCAGGTTACCTCAGCAGGCCTCCCCGTAGGACAGATGCAAGTGATCGCCTCACTCCACTGACTGAGCCCTCCCGGAGTCACAGCTGCACATCTGAATTGGTACTGAAGATTTGGGCGGACATCTTCCAGGATGAATTGATCCTTAGAGCCTTTGGAACTGAGACTTTTCCAATTTTCCTCTCCTGCAAAGCGATATTCCACCTGGTACCTGGAGACCGAAGCCTTCCCGATGGCTACCGGATCAATACTGATCTGGAAACTATTTGGGTGCACTTGCTCAACCTTAGGAGGGGGAGGTCTTCTAAGAGCAGCTTCCAGTTCCTGATGTTTCTTCAAGAACTCCATGGTCAAGGTTGAATTTTTGGTTTCCAACAACTTTAATGAGTCAAAGAAATCCTTCATGTTCTCTGTGCTCATTTTCCAGGACATTTCAGAAGCAGCATTAGGTCTTCCTCCGTATTCTCGGGGAGCAAAGAGGGCTGAATTGTTAAATCTGAAGTGCTGAGGGATTCCCGACTCATTTTGAGCATTTGGCAGGTCAGCCTCCTTGAGGGCCTCCAGGACAGGTGGGGTCCTCTCATCTGCAAAGGTGATCAAGAGTTGGATGTTTTCCTTCATGTCTTTTCCCAACATGGAGAGCATGGAATCAAAGACGCATTTCTGGGCGTGAGTTGAATGGGCAAGGAAGGCCTGGGCCACCAAGCAGATGGCATCCACGTGGTCAATGCCCCCTGGGGTGGAGAAAAACTCCAGGAGCTGCTTCTCCAACAATTTGTTTTGCTCTGCATCTCTTGTGCCTCCAAATCCTGGAGTGTCAATGATTGTGAGAGAAAAGGGAATTTGGAAACCCTTCCGATGGTTCACCACAAAGGCTGTGACTTCAGATGTCCTGCTTCCAGCTTCTCTCCTCTGAGTGGTTTCATGAATGAGTTTGAATCTGAAATTATCTTCCCACTGGACACCCAGGATGTAATTGATCATCCCGTTGATCAGAGTGGTTTTCCCACACCCTTTTACTCCCATCACCAGGATCACTTTGTTGGGCACTTCTGGGTTCTCCTTTCCAACCTGGTACATGAAACAGGATCTGGAGGAATCTGAGGGGACTTTCTTCAGAGGAAGGGCGAACATTAATGGCTGTCTGTCCTCCACCAGGGAGCTTTCCTGAAGGAACTGTCGGATTATATTGTCTGCACTTTCTTCCTCCAGGGATGTGGAGACCTCAACCTCCTCACTGGGGACACCCAGAACTCCATTATCACACACGGCCAACACCCGTATTCTGTACACTGTCTGGGGATTCAGACCTTCAATGGAATAAACCTCTATTTTACTCCCAGTCCTTTTTTCAGTCCACTGGACACTCCCAATTCCAGCCTCCACCATTCTGTACTCCACCTTGTACTCCTTGACCGCAATTCCTGAGGCAATGATGCTGGGACTCATCCAGGCCACAGAGATGACTGAAGATGCTGCAGTGATCATTCTTAATTCCTCAGGAGGGCTGGTGGGAAGGGTCTTTATGGGTGGGCTCAGCTCACTGGATTTACTAAGGCCTACCTTGCAACAAGCAGCATACTGGAACAGGTAGGCTACATTTGGAGACAGATCTTTCAGCAGGAACATCTCCCCAGCATCCTTTGTCCTCACGGTCTTCCAGTTTTCTTCCCCTGTAATCTTGTACTCTACCAGATAGTTGGAGATGGAAGCCTTTCCATATTCAGCTGGCTGAAACTTCAGTTGAATGCTGTCATGTCTCAGTTCACTGATCAGGAATGTGAGAGGTTTTGAGGGCAACTCATAGTTCTTGCTGACCAGCTCTCCCTCTTCATAAAGATACGTGGTAGGGCCTGGTGTGTCCAGATCTGGGAGAGGGCCACAACAAAGCGGACCTTCTCAATGGATTGATTGATGCTCAAAAAGTCTTTGATGGATTTGGCAGTTCGGCGAGCATTGCGGGTCCTCTCCTTGTCCTCAAACCAGGGTGTGTCCTCCTCCTGCCCAAGACTGAACCTTGTCGACTTCATGGATTCTTGCACCAAATGATCATGAAGCCAATCCTGTAGGCTCAACAGAAACGGCTCTGTTTTATGTAGAGAAGTGAATATAAAGGAGACTACATATAAATTCTGTGGGTCAAGAACTATTTTTTCCAGCTTGGTCTTGGATGAGATAACTTTTTCTTCACTTAGAATAGTCAAATAAGAGTTGACATGATTAATTTCTCTTTCCTTGGTGTCCAGAAATTCACAGAGCCTTTGGCTATTGAAGGGCGACTCCCTGATGGACATCAAGAGGTCCACCAGGGTCCCTTCCTCCTGCCCTCCTCCCCGGATAGAAGGCAACATTCTGGCCATCTGTTTTTGGAAAGTCTGCCTGTGTTGCTTTAACAGATTCTTGAAATTCTGGATCTTTTTCTTGATTTCAGGGAATTTGTCAGCACTGTTGGCTACGTCATTGCTTTGCATCTCAATTTCGTTGAGTTCCTCCAGGATGTCTTGAGCATCAAAGATCAATGTTAGGCTGATCTCACGGACCATCTTAGCTGCTCTGCTGTCCAGTTTGGTCAGCGGGTAGAGCCAGACCCTCATAGGCACAGCCTTCTCCCCATGTTCCCCTAACATTTTTGGGAGAGTTTCATAAACTTTCATGGCATCTTGGAAAGTCACTGGATTTTTGTCCAAGGAAAAGTCTCCATGGAATGTGCAACTGAAGATCAAAGCATTCTCTCTCTCTTCTTCATTTAGCTTGACCTCTGCTTCTCCTGTGGCGGATATCATCTTCTTAATTGTAACATGGAGATTTCCTTCCATATTTTTTACCATCTCCATTGAAGAATCATCTCGGTCAAAGACAAAGAAGGCCTGGGCTCCATAGAGGATGGCGGTGACCACATGGGTGGCTGTGCCCTGCTCAAAGATGGTTGGATGAGAGACATTCTGGATTCCTAGGTGGCTCATTGTCAACTGTTCATACCTGGTGGTGGTTTTGTACTGAACGGTGACTCTGGCCTGTTTCTTGGACTTCTTGGTGTCATGGAGATACTCTGCTGACCCTCTCATATCAATCAGCCCTCCAAGGAAACTGGCCTTGAGGGATCCTGAGATGTCCAGGGCAGAGGTCTTGTCATCAATGCTGTCAGATGCAATGATTACAGTTGCTGTCTTGGGCTGAGGCTTGGTTGTTAGTTCCTTCTGAAGAGAGCTGTGATCCCAAAGGGTGAACCCTGCATGGAACACAAGACGACATGAAGATAAATGTGAAACCTGACCTCCAAAAGAATTGCAGCTGAGACAGAGCTTGAACGAGGGGTCATCATTTCTCCCAGAGGATAACCACATCTGTTCTGTCCAGCAACCTCTTGCCTGTTTTGTAAAATACTGCAAAAACCCCCAAAGGCTTTTGACTGAGTAGAGAGGTTTCATCATTTTCCAAAGCAATTCAGTGAGTTTGGTTTGGAAACCCTCCCCATGTTTGGTACACAGGGCCAGCTGTGCTGTGTGGTAGGCCAAGGGCTGGATACATATTCCCAGGCAGAAGACCCTACTCAGATACCTGGGATTAGCAGGCTGCATGCTCAAGATGCCAACTCTCAAGCCTGCGCATTGATGGCAATGCCCATCTCCCTCCCTCCCAGGTTTCCTGCCACCCCTCAGCCTCTCCTCTGGCTCCTACCTGGGATGAGGGCATCCTTGCGACAGTCATAAAACATCCCCAGCTGGAAGGGGCGGCCCAGGGCTGGAATCTCGATGGCATCTTCGGCCACGGCCATGCTTGGTTCTTGTGTGTTGTTGACACTTCTGGTGCCCTGCAAGAGAGAGGAACCGTCTGGGGGAGGCCGAGACTGACTGAGGACTCTCTGAGAGGATGCAGGCAGGGGTGGGATTCTACCCGTTCACACCTATTCTCTAGAACCTGTTGTTAACTTTCTAAGCAGTTTGGAAAACTGGTTGTTGGAAGAAATCTCCATGTGTTTGTTTCCCCCCCCCATTTTACAGGGCTAATCCTGTAAAGAAGGCAGGAAGGAAACATTCTGGTGTTGTTCCTAGCCTAATCTTTATTGCCCTGCTTACAGAAATTGCCGCTCCATTAACCCTTATTACATCATCATCATCATCATCATCATCATCATCATCATCATCATCATCTTTATTGTCATTGTATGTGTATACACAGTATACAGATACAACAAAATTTACTTGACACCCAAAGACCAGATCCCACACACATAACAATCCCCAAACACACTCCCACCCACCACAAATTCCCCACCCCTAAACTACCCAAACATCCACACAACAGACCAAGCAATACTGTCCAACAGCTCACTGATGGTAGCCCTTTACTTCATGGTTGAGTGCAATTATAGCTCTGGGATAAATAAAACTATTCAGAAAATGTGTGGTCCGAGTTTTAATTGTTCTGTATCTTCTGCCAGAAGGCAAGAGTCCAAAAAGATGGTAAGCAGGATGGGAAGAGTCTCTGAGAATGTTATGCAATTTTCTCAAACAGCGAGATTCGAAGATGTTGTCCAGGGCTGGTAGCTGGAGTCCGATGATATTCTGGGCAGTTTTAATGATTCTGTGTAGAGCTTTTTTGTCCGCTACAGAGCTGCTCCCATACCATGTAACAATGCCAGATGTCAGGACACTATCAATGGTGCTGCGATAGTAGGACAGAAGTAGATGCTGAGATAGATTTATCTTCCTGAGCATTCTCAGGAAGTACAGCCTCTTCTGTGCCTTCTTCACAAGCATGTTAGCATTCATAGTCCATGAGAGGTCCTCCAAGATATAAGTGCCCAGAAATTTAAAACTACCCACCCTCTCCACCTCCTCACCATTTATGTACAGTGGTAGATGTACATCTCTCTTCCTCCTGAAGTCAATTATAAGTTCTTTAGTTTTTGTGGTGTTAAGTGTGAGATTATTTTCATTACACCACAATGTCAGCCCTTGTACTTCCTTCCTGTAAGCAGACTCATTGTTCTTATTAATGAGCCCCACCACTGTTGTGTCATCTGCAAATTTAATAATTGCGTTGCTGTTATACAATGGGGTGCAGGCATGCGTGTACAAGGAATAAAGGAAAGAGCTTAGCACACAACCCTGGGGAGCTCCTGTGCTTAGTATCAGAGTAGAGGAATAGTGAGATCCCATCCCTACTGACTGGGGCCTACCTGTCAGAAAATCCCTTATCCACAAACAAATCCTCTGATTTATACCCAAATTGGACATTTAAAAAAACAACCCGTTGGGTAAAATGTTGTTAAAGGCAGAGCTATAATCCACAAATAACAGCCTTGCATATGCCCCCTGTTGTTCCAAGTGATTCAATACAGTATAGACAACAAGAGACATAGCATCGTCAGTTGATCTATGACCCCTATATGCAAATTGGTATGGGTCCAAAGTAGATGGAAGACTAGCCTTAATATAGTTCAACACCAGCCTCTCAAAACATTTCATGACAACAGATGTTAAAGCTACTGGTCTATAATCATTAAGGGATACCACTACTGTCTGCTTAGGGACTGGCACTATAATAGATGTCTTCAGGCAGGTAGGGATAGAGCACTGCGACAGGGATAGATTGAAAATATCCATGAACACTCCAGCTAGCTCTGCAGCATAGTCCCTGACAACTCGTCCCAGAATTCCATCTGGCCCAGCTGCCTTCCGGATATTAACATTCTGGAAAGTGAGTCTCACAGCAGAGATCTGCAGTAGAAGTTCTCTGTCTATCGATGGTAGATGTTAATGGTGCACCATCAGTGGTAAATGCTGGAATGATGGTCGTTCCTGTGTCCACCTCAAAACGGCTGAAGAGTTGATTTAGCTGCTCAGCCAAAGAGTCACTACTCCCAGGCAAACTATTTCTATTGCTTTGTCCTGTGATTTGTCGCAGACCTTGCCATACCCGACCAGAGTCTGAGTTCACAAAAAGATGTTCAATCCTCCGTCTGTATGTAGCTTTAGGGTCCTTGATACCCCTTTTCAGTTTAGCTCTTGCCTCACTATACTGTTCCAGAACGGAAAGCAGCATTTCTTGCTCTTAATAAAAGACACACTTTTCTATTTATCCAGGGCTTGTTGTTAGAGAACACCCGTACTTGTCTGGTGGTAGTGACAACATCAATGCAGCTTTTAATGTAAAACAGTACTGTTGAAGTGTAAGTGTCAATATTGTCCTCCTCAAACGGTGCCCAATCAGTGCTCCCAAAGCAATCTTGAAGTTGCTCCGATGCACCCGCTGGCCACACTTGTCTTTCTCTAATCGATGGTCTAATTCTGTTGATAAGAGGTCTATATGATGGGATCAAGAACACAGATATATGATCTGACTGTCCCAGGTGGGGTAAAGGCATAGACCTGTATCCGTGCATGATGTAACTATATACCTGATCCAAGGTATTTTTCCCTCTAGTGGGACAGTCTACATACTGATAGAACTTAGGGAGGACAGTCTTTAAGTTGGCTTGATTGAAATCACCTGCAACCACCAGCACTCCATCCGGGTAGGCCTGTTGCTGTTTGCTAATAGCAGTTAGCAAGGGACTCATGGCTGCGGTCGTGTTAGCATCAGGAGGTATATATACTGCAGTTGTTATCCTGATGTTAAACTCATGAGGCAGATAAAAGGGGCGGCATTTCACTGCCAAGTATTCCAAATCAGGAGAACAGTGAGTGTCCATTATTTTAACATTTGTGCTCCAGTTGTTATTTATGTAAACACATAGTCCCCCTCCTCTGCTCTTCCCAGAGACCATGGTTCTATCCGCTCGATAAACTGAGTGTCCTGGTAATTCAATAGCCTCTCCTGGAATAGTAGGGTCAAGCCACGTCTCTGTAAAGACCATGACACAGCAGTCCCGAATGTTTTTCTGCAGAGAGATAGTAAGTTCCAGCTCCTCAATCTTATTAGGGAGAGATCTAACATTTGAAACAAAAAGACTTGGCAGTGCAGGCTTGTGAGGATTTTTTCCTAACCTTACATGCTGTCAGTATGCCTAACCTGACATTCTTGGCAGTATGCCTAGACTTACTGTCCCTGAGGAGCTAATTTTTTTTTTATTTGCTGGTACTTTGCTGGCACTTGACTTTCTTGAAGGGGAAGGGTTGTTTTAAGCTTTTTTACACTGCTGTTGGGAGGAAATACTACCCTGTTGGAGTTCTTTCAGCCGGGATGCAATGATCAGCACTTTGAAGAAATAATTGAATAATGAAGCAGAACTGCCGGAAAGAAGCTTTTTTTTTCTTTATTGAAAAGTTTTACAAAAAGTTTACATATTTCCTCCCCTTCCCCACCTCCTGCACCCCCTTCCCTTCCCAACCACCCACCTCCCCCCTCCTCTTCCCAGAACAAATTACAGGGTATAACCTTCAACAATCATAATTAATTCTAATCTAGATAATTATAACATTCCACGTCTCTTGTTCCTTCAATTCCCTAATTTCCCTACTAACTTAGTTATTTAAAAACACACCAAATATCTATATAGTCATTCATAACCTATCTGTAATTTCTTATTCTGGTATTTATTTTGGATATAATCTATCCATCTTCTCCAATCCCTTAGGTATCTTTCATTTGAATGTTCCTTCAAATACGCCAAAATTTTTGCCATTTCCGCTAGGTTTATAACTTTCAAAGTCCATTCTTGGATTGTAGGTAAATCTTGCTTTTTCCAATATTGTGCCACCAACAGTCTTGCTGCAGTTATTAAATTCAGAATCAATTTAGTCTCTATAACCGTACAATCCGTAACTATACCCAGCAGAAACAGCTGTGGTGTAAATTTCAACCTCTTTTTGAGAATATTTTGTAAAATCCACCAAATTTTTATCCAAAACGCTTTAACCTTTTTACATGTCCACCAAATATGAAAATAAGTAGCTTCCTCACAATTACATCTCCAACATTTTGGTTGTACATTCGGATACATACGAGATAACTTTTTTGGATCTAGGTGCCATCTATAAAACATTTTATAAAAATTCTCCCTTAAATTTTGCGCTTGAGTAAATTTCACATTTGTTACCCATATTTTTTCCCAAGTTTCCATCATTATTGGTTGTTCAAAGTTCTGCGCCCATTTTATCATACAATCCTTAACTAGCTCTGTTTCCGAGTCTATCTCTATCAGAACATTATACAATCTTTTTATATGCATTAGACTTTGGTCTCTAATTTGTTTTATTAAATTTTCATCACTTTGTATAACACCAATTTTCTGGTCTTTTCTCCATCGGGCTTGTAATTGTACATACTGAAACCAAGTTTGAATTATTTTCTCCTCTTTCAACACATTCACAGGTTTTAGTTTTAATATACCTCTTTCGGTGTTAAGAATATCTATATATGTGAATACATCCTGTCTACTTTCTATACTCGTGTTTTCTATTGTGTGCCTGGGTACTGTCCATATAGGTATCTTTTCATTTAACTTGTATTGATATTTCTTCCAGACACGCAATAAAGCATTCCTCAGTGGCTTCCTCAAGGGCTTCCGGCAGCTCCGTAGGACGTTGTGGATGCTCCCCAGTGGAGCGCTAGCCCCGCGACTTTGTTAGCCGCTAGAACAGCAAAAAACCAGCTGTCTAGCGGCGAAGAACCTTCCCCCCCAGGAGAAGAGGGGGAAGCGAGCAGCCAGGCGCAGGGTAGAGCTCCCTAAGAGCCCTAGAATTAATTCTGGGGCTCGAAAGGTGAGAGCTCCCCAAGAGCCTGGGAAAGCTCCAAAGCCGGGACGACTCTGCCAGAAGGCAGAGGAAAACGCCACGTCCGCCCCTGCTACTAATTGATACAAATTGATAACTGAAGCAGGCTGAACAAAGACAGGAGACTACATAATTGCAAGTATTTATACTTTAATTCCTTGGAACATCGCTTCTTTTCGAGCCTTTAAGAGCGGAGCTGAAGCGGAAAGGGAGGGGAAGATGGTGCTGGCTCGTTAAGACAAAGAGACGAAAGTGAAAGTTAAGAAGAAAGTTCCTATAGACTTGTTAACTCATTAACGCCTTACAGCTAACAACTCTGCTTAAAACTTTTTGGATTTAACATTGTATTTTAGACTTTGGGAATCAAAATTTAAAGATTTTCTGATTTTTCTTCACTGGTTATAAGAACTTTAAGAATTGATTCTGAGACTGTGTGACTTTAAAATGGCTTCAAAGCAGACAAAATTGGTGCTGCCTAAAGCAGGGAGTGCGGGAAGCTCCCCTGCTCAGACTAGCAGGTTGCAAACTTTATTGCCTCTAGCAGATACACAAGCTCAATTACAACCACAACCACAACCACAAGCACAAATATTAACACTTGAGATGTTTCAAGAAGCTGTGAAAGAAATTAAAGAAGGCTTTAAAGAGGACATTGCATTTGCATTTAAAGGAGTCTCAGAACAAATGGAAGAAATGAAGGACATAATTAAGACAAGAAATAAACATATAAGGGAAGATATAGTTCTTGCACTCCAGGGACTGGCAAAGCATGTTAATCATGTAGAAGATAGAATTGATGAGGTTGTTCAAGCCAATGAGATCTTAGATGGCAAAGTTGAAGAAACACAAACAAAGATTGATAAAACAGAAGCTGAAGTGTTGCTGACACAATACAAAATGATGGAATTTGCTGTGAGAATAAGAGGCTTGAAAGAAAATCCTAAGGAAAATTTGAAAGAGATTTTTGAAGAAGCTCTGGCACAGTTTACAGGAGAGCCCAGAGGAGAACTTGAATGGCAAATTGATCGGATCTATCGTGTTAATTCATGGGTAGGCAGACAAAGGAAACTACCAAGAGATGTAATCTACTTTGTCACCAGAAGGATTAGAAATGAGATCTTACAAGCCGCCTATAAAAACAAATTGCAAGTGGCAGGACAAGAAGTTGCAGTATTTAAAGAAATACCACCTAAAATGTTGAAATCCAAGAAAGAGTATGCTTTCCTGGCAGATGAGCTGAGAAACCGACAGATACAATACAGACTGGAAAGAAGCTTTTAATGACAAGGAGCCAAGGTGAGTGACGTTCAGCAAGGCTTCTTGGATAGCTAGAAAGATTGACTTTCAAACGTGAGTTTACATACCCTTTCTGAGTTTTGATCTAAAACTGGGTTTTGGTGAAGTTTAATTCTGTGCTTGGTGACCTTTAATCCTGAGTTTATTGATGGGATATTTTCCCTATTCAGCTTTGTCTGGAAGGAAAAAGGTTATTCTCTGTTCCTGGAAAGAAGCAGGGTTCAGAAATCTGGCTAGCTAGTTCCTGGGTCTATTTGTTCTGGTAAGTGGTTTAACAAGCTACTGTGTTTGCTTTTTTGATACATTCTAGGGCTAATCGGTTTCTTTGTAATTAGGCTTATCTCAAGTATTTACTCTTGAGCTTGCCTGGGGTGTGAGTTCTGGCAATCAGCCAGACAAGGTTTGTGTTTTAGTTTTAAAAGGATTAAAACTGTTGTGATTTAATTATTGGTATTGTGTTTGAATTTTTTCCTGCCTCATGGTTTCTTTTTCTATCTGGGGAGGGGTTTTTCCTTCACTGCTTTAGTGGTTCCTGGCACTGTCCTTTTGGGGTGCACTTCCAAGAGGCAGGATGCAAGATTGGCACTGATTTTTTTTTTAGTGCCTTTCTGGGGGGCCTGTGATCTTTCCTTAAATCCGGATGATTTCCTTGGGATATCTTATGAGGTTAGACCAGCCGTGCTTGGCAAAGTTGGGAGGGCAGAGACGTGAACCTGGGTTCCCTATATGATTTGTTAATTTGTTTCTATAGCTCGGCATTTTGTAGCCCAAATCTGCCCACCCACTTTCTGGAGAGCTTAAATGTCCTCTCTGCTAAAGGGTTTCACTTTATGAGCAAGATTTGGCTGCTGGTATTTATCATTTTATTGCAACTACTTTAATTCCTGAAGGTCCCCTGGCCCCTTGCCTGATGTGTAACTCCGGGTTGCAGGAATTCCTAGTCTAAGGATTGGTATTTAGGGCAGCTTTTTTCAAGCAAAGAAGCTTCTTGTATTTTTCTACAGGTAATCCTTGACTTACAACAGTTCATTTAGTGACCATTCAAAGTTACAATGTGACTTGTGACCGTTTTTCACACTTACGACCGTTGCAGCTTCCCCACGCTCACCAGAGGCCAGGCGAGGGGAAGCGCCCATCAACGTGAGTGACCTCGAGTTGGCCACGGCCACCCAGTCACATGGCCACCCAGCCACGCCTACCCAGCTGGTCATTAGGGCAGAGAACCAGTTGTTAAACTGTTCAAATCCCACCACTGGATGCAGGATGTGGGCACACGCCACATCCCACCCACTGATGCTGGACCGATTTCTGGGGCGGCTGAGGAAGGGTCTCTGCCCAGAGCAGTGGGGCAGGAGCAGCAGTCTCAGGGCACGGCTGGCGGCAGTGCTGAAGCCTCCTGGAGGCCAACATTGGCAACTCCTCCATCAAAGGTGGGATCCCCCTGGACAGGCATTTTTAGGCAGAGGAGAAGCTCCTGGATTAGGGTCACAGCCCTTGTGTCAACCGAAGAATCTCCCTGGAGTTACAGTTTAGAAGGATAAAGATGCCAATATAACCCATAGGATTACAAAAAAGCTAATATCGAGAGAAATTTAGTTACAATTATTCTGTTGCACCATTACTATTGTTATTAGTATATAGTATATATCTGTTTCTTTTTGTTCTTTTTTTCTGTAAACTGTGTTCAAAATGTTTATGACTTTAAAAAAAAAGGATTGGGGAGACATGATAACAGTCTTCCAGTATTTGAGGGGCTGCCCCAAAGAAGAAGGGGGGGGGGGTCCACCTATTTTCCAAAAGCAGGAGAAGGCAGGAGAAGAAACAAGGGATGGAAACTCATCAAGGAGAGAAGCAGCCTGGAATGAAGGGGAAACTTCCTAACAGGGAGGACAGTTCACCAGTGGAACAGGCGGCCACTGGAAGTTGTGGGGGCTCCAACCCTGGAGGCTTTTGAAAGAGAGGTTGGAGAGGCAGTGGTTGGAAATGGACGAGCAGGAGGTTGGACTAGAAGAGAAAGCTTGATCCCCACCCCCACCCCAGGAGAGCCAGAATGTAGCACCTCCATGGAAAAGCTCCCGGGAGGGGAGGGAGCTGCCATTGAGGGGGAGGGGGAAGGGGACGAAGGGGACCTTCCCTGCACTCAATTGCGGCTCTTTCTTTCTTTGGCTTCAGAAAAGGAGCAATCCCCCCTCCCTAAATTACCTGGAATCTCCCCCCCCCCAACAACACAGGTGCTGCTTCTGTGCCAGACTTGTGGCTCCGTTGCCTGCTTTTCCCTCCCTCCTCCGGCTGCCTTGTCTAAGAAGGAAGAGGGGACTCCGAGGGTCTCCGCTTCTCCCGTCATCCCCTTCTGAGGATCGCCTTTCCCGAGACGGGTCTCCGCCGTCCCCGCCACCCATCAGCCTCTGCCCGAGACCAGGACTCGCTTCTTCTTGACTTGCCCTCCACCGATGCCCAGGAGGAGCCCTGCGCTCGCCCCGCCTCCCTCCCATGCCCCACCCAATGCCAGTTGGGGAGGGGGTCTCACCTGGTTGGAGGGAATCGGGAATCCCCACCGGCAGGAGGATCTGCTTCTCTGCTGGATCTCTTCTAAGGAAAGTCTTCTGCTTCGTCTTCAGGGCGCTCAGAAAACGAAAGTGGAAGGAGCAAGGAAAAAAACAACAGGAAAACGTGTTTGAGAAATGAGTTCCACAACCATCCAGCAGAGGGCAGCAAAGACCTTTCTTGGTCCTTCACTCCTCTGTGCAGATGTTCCCCAACTAGACAACTTTTAAAATTTGTGGACTTCAACTCCCAGAAGTCCAGAGCCTGCTGTGCTTCCTGAGGAATCCTAGGAGTTGAAGTCCAGAAGTCTTAAAGTTGGCACTTTTGGAGCAGCTTCTACTCACAGGGAATTTGGCTGATTTCCCCCCCAGAACGTGTGTTCCTGAAATTAGCACCCGCTTTCCAAGAGAGAGAAGAGTTGGGGTCTTCTGGAAGGAGGCAGTTCTTCCTCCCACTGCACCCCCCTCTATCTTCCATTGTTAAGGTTAGAGACCCTCCCCCACTCCCCACCCCATGGTTAGGGTTAGGGTTGGCCTAAGAGGAGGGATCCAGAGGTGGACCTCGGACTCTTCAGGATTTGCAGACTTCGATGATGCTGTCAGAAATCAGGAGTGTCTCTCCTATATCCTAACACCGAATATTATGACATATGGAACAGATTCTCTCAATGGATAGAAGCACGGGGGTGGAGTTGGAACACAAAACAATTAGGCCAGGCAGACCTGGAACGAGATCCTATATATGCATCGTCCTATTAGGATGAAGATGATGGTCAAAAACATTTGTACAATACTAGCAATGTTCAAGTAGTATATACGTTACCTGTTTTCACTTTTGTCTTTATGGCGGATGAAATGCCAGGTCGATCACACTGTATTCGATATAGTTATAGGTAAATAATAAAAATGTAATGAAAAGAAAAAAAGAAATTGCACCGAGTTTCAGGAGCGTCTGCAGGATTTCATCAAAAGTTGAGGTGGTGCCACAGGGGAGCCATTGAACTCTGTCCATCTTGTAGGCATCTCCAGTCGACTTTCTCGTGTTTGGTCCAGCCGAAAGCGTTGCTGGAGTCCGGGTTCCCCTGGCCCTCTTTCCCACCCATCCAGGAGCCTTTCTCTTGTGACAGTCCGTCCTTATGGCTGCCCATCCACCCTGGTCCCTCGCTCAGGCAGCTCCAGTTGCATTGGCCAGCTGGACTCTGCTGTCTTGTCCTTCTAGCCGGTCCCTTATGAAGTCTCCTCCCAGCAGGCAGGTCATGCGGTGTGTGAGAGATCTCACGAAGATCGATGGTTTGTTGGGGCACTTCCAAGGAAAACGCAGCATGCAGGGATGTGAACAATTATAGCTTTATTCAAAGATAAAGTAGAGAAAATGAGTTCCCTGGCATGGAGGCATCCATCCCTGGATTGTGCCCATGGATCAGTCCCGAAGGGAGCTAGAACAAGAGCCAAAGAGCAGCCCCTATGCAGGGGTTCTTATAGGGGCCCCTGGCCCCTCTGTTACCAATGTGTGTGAGGGGGCCGGAGGGCCATTAACTCTCCCCAATGGGGCTGCAGGGGCCAGAGCCCCTTGACCCACCAGTGGGATCAAAGGTGCCTCTTTGCTCCCATCTGGTGGCCTTTTAAGAAACTGCCATGGCTGGCACAAAACACCTAACCATTCCCCTTCTTGCCAGCCAATGACAGGTACCAGTGAGTATGTGTGAGGGGGCGAGCAGGTGTCATAGACATGTACACATTTACAGGACCAAACACAAACGCTTGCACAGAAGGTTGTGTCGGTCAATGGGCACAGGTTTTGTGAACAGGACAGCTAACTGATTGGTTGTATTACAATGTTTGATATGTACAAACCCCATTCTGGCAAGCTGCCTGACATTCTTGTATCGGATGTCTATGTGGTGGGACCTAGAGCCCACCGCGTATGCCCCCGAGATCCCAATTGTGGCCGTGTTATCTTCTTGAATTTGGATGGGCAGAGGAGGAGATGCCCAGATGCTCGTTACCATCCCAGTCTGCGTCTGAGTAAGCGGAGAGCTGGGCCGGCTTCCCCTTCTCTGGTTCCAGCACAAGGAGAGCATCGGCCGTGCCCCTGAGGTATCTAAGTACCCTCTTAACAGCATTCCAGTGGAATTCCTTTGGGTTTTCCACGTGCCTAGACAATAGATTCACAGCTAAAGCTATGTCAGGCCTGCTCCAATTGTTAATGTATAGCAAGGAGCCAATCACAGATATAATTTATTATCTAATAAATTTATAATTTATTATCTGTGAATTCAGGGCTGTCCTTGTGATTGTGGCCATAGTAGTCACTTTGTATGGGGCTACGCTTTGGGTTAGACTCCGCCATTTTGCATTTGGCCAACAACTCTTCAATCTTTTCTCTCTGGGATAAGGCAAATCCCATTTTAGTGGCCAAGATGTGCACACCCAGGTACCTGTCAATCCGCCCCAAGGAAGCCCCAAATATCTTTCCCCTAGGGCCTTGGCAAATTCATCACACCTTTCCTTGCCAGGCCTTATGTATAGGAGGTAGACCAAAACCCGTTCTGTATCACCTTTGGTGTCACGTGTGAAAACACATTCATCTGCATGAGATTCCCTGAAGCCAATTCTCTCTAAACCCTTTTTGAGGCAGTCGTAACAGAGTTTCCCCGACTGCTTGAGGCCATATAATCCCTTTTGGAGCAACCATGTATTTCCCCCCTCCTGCTGGTAACCAGGAGGGGCCCTCACGTAGATCTGCCAGTCCAAGTTGGCGTGGAAGTAGGCCGTCTGGATGTCGAACTGGTAGACTTCTTTTCCCAGAGCAGCTGCAGTTACGAGGGTGGCCTTGACGCTTTCTGCCAGGACGATCGGAGAATAGGTCTCTATGTAGTCTTCCATGTAGCGCTGGGCGAACCCCTGTGCTACTATGCGAGCCTTGTACAGGTAGTGGCCATTGGCAAATGGTCTGGCCTTGAAAACCCACCTTGTGCCAATGACCTTCTTCTCCTTGGGTGGTTGCTGGGGGGTGAAGACCTTGAGCTTTCTCAGGCTCTCCATCTCCTGTTCCATCGCGAGCTGCCATCTCTCCTGTTCTTCGATGGGCAGCTCCTGGATGTCAGAGAAAGCCTTTGGGGTGGCCACGACGCTGTTGACAGACGTGACATGCCCAATGTCGATTCTCTTGGTGGGACCCGCTTGTTGGACCGCTTTGATCTCCTGACCTCTTGCCACTCACCGCCCTTTTGTTCTGCGGGTTCCTCGCTGACTGGCTGATCACGACTGGGATGTGGAGGCTCTCGTTCCCAGGCGTTGGGCATCATGGGCCTCTGAAACATCGCAGGAGGTGAAGAGTCAGGTGAAGATGGCGTGTCTTCCCCCTCAGGACTGGATGGCTCATCCTCCCCATTTGGACCAGGTAGGTTGACTTCTTCGTCCTGTTCTTCGCTCTCATTTGATATGAAGCGACTTCCCCACTGACACCCCCTTGGCTCTTGTTGCCTTGGGTGGTGCCGGCACCTTAGGCCCTTTCTTGGGCTTATCTGCCTTAGGTGCCTGCTGGGGCTTGGGTTTCTTGCCCGCATTGGCCTTGAGAGGCTGTGGGGCTGGCTGAGGCAGTATGGGCACAACTGCTTTGGCCTTGCGCCCCTCTGACAGCCTAGGAGCTGACTGTGATCCCTTGGGAGTGGCCGCCTCTGTCTTATGCACCTTAGACACCCTTTGGGGCTGGCTGTAGGGCCTCTCTCTCTCTCTCTGCACGCAGGCCCCTTCTGAGGTGGCACCCCATGGGCTGTCCTCTGTAGCTGGGTTCTCGGGGGAGAAATATGGCAAACCATTTATAATGGTAACACTCCCAATAACCTTTTTGTTCTGAGTGACATGACTTCCCCCTTTTACGAAACACTACCTCCACCCTGCCTTCATCACATAACTTGATTATGCTCAACAAGTTATTGGCGATAGAGGGAGCATGTAACACACCTTCAACATTGCCCAGCCCTGGTACAGAGACAGTGCCCTCCCTAACAACCAAAGCATTATCACCATTGGCAACCTTGACGGAGGAGTTAATTCTCCTTAACCTCTTAAAACCTTGCTTCATGTTGGCAATGTGGGATGAAGCCCCGGAGTCCAGTAACCAGAGGCCAGTGGGGCCATCAGCCTTGGTGGCGGGGGTGAGATTACTAGTACACACAAAATTGCCCTTAGCAACACCTTTGCCCCCGCCATGCCCCCTTCTCTGCCCCCTGCCCCTTCCTTGATTGGAACCATGCTTGGGCCCTCGCTGGTAATGGGTACAGTCCTTCTTCAGATGCTCCTCAGAGCCACAAATAAAACACTTGAGTAGAGCGTTCACCTGCTCTGAACTCTGGTGCCTCCTGTTGATGCGCTGAGTTGTGGCCCTGGCATATTTTCCTGCATCTCCACGCCTCCTGTCCTCCTCATTGAGCCTCCCTGTGAGGTAGAACAGAGTCATGGCTTCCTTCCTGGTTCCCTCTAGTGAGACAATAAAATTGCCCCAACTTTTGTCCAGGGATGCCAGAATAACTGCAATCATGTTGGCCTCAGTCATGGGGTAGTCCCTGAGCACCAGTTCTGCCCTGAGTGCCTTCAACTTTCCCAGGTGCTCAGCCATGCTAGCCCCAAATCTTAGCTTGGTGTTGTAGAACTCTAATGTAAGCCTTGTGGTGGAGCCCAAGCTATCACTGTTAAACAAGCTATACAACAACCCCCAAATCTCACCAGCTGTGAGTCCATCTGGAATGCTAGGGTACAATTTAGCATCCAGTGAGCTCAGTAGAGTGGTATAGGCTTTCCTGTGGTACCACTCTTCTTGAGGCCTCCAAGGGAAAGGTGGGGGGTCTAAAACCATTTCTGGAGCTCCTCTGGCTGCCTTGTTCAGTGTACACTTGTAATCCACGCAGATGCGGACGGACCCATCTGGCTTCATGAGGGTGACTATGGGGGTCTCCCACACCGCGTGGTCGGTTGGCACGAGGATTCCCTGGGCAATGAGCTTGTCTAATTGTTCCTCGACCTTGGGCCGCAAGGCAAATGATACCCTATGGGGTTTGAGCCTGATGGGGGTCACATGGGGGTCTAGGTTAAATGAAATGGGTTTCCCCGTATATTTACCTAGACCAATGATGCTAACCTTTTTGCCGTTGTGTGCCAAAAGCGTGGGGAGTGTGAGGGATGGGGTGTCTCGCGTGCACGTGCCGACCCCCATAATTCAATGTGCCCTGCCCCCCCATGCATGCGTGTGCAACACCCCCCCCCATGCTCCCACCACTTTTGGCACGCGATGGCACAGTGGGCCAGGTAGGCCCATTTTTCTCCCTCCCCATGCTCCAGAGGCTTTCTAGGAGCCTGGGGAGGGCAAAAATGGCCTCCCCCCTCCCCGGAGGCCGTCCGGAGGCTGGAAACGGCATGTTTCCTGACTTCGGGTGGGCCCAGAAGGCCTGAAAATCATCTGGCTGGCGTGCACATGCACTCTGGAGCTGAGCTAGGGCAACCCTCGTGTGCCCACAGATATGGCTCCGCATGCCACAGGTGGCACGCGTGCCATAGGTTCGCCATCATGGACCTAGACCCTCGTCGAAGACGTCCGCAAACTCTGCCAATAGCTGGTCCAGTTCATGGGTGGTTACGTTGTGCAGTCCAGTGATGTCCAAGCCCAGGGGTTTAACCCATTCTACTCCCAGCAGTGATGTCTGGTGGCTGCCAACGACCATGAGCGGCAGCCAGCCCTGGAACTCGTGGAACGTTACTTTGACCTCCATTCTGCCTAGTATCTCTATCCGGTTCCCTTGATAGTCATTCAGGCAGACATTTGGCGGCTTCAGGAACTTCCTGCTTGCGGCTGGGTTCAACTTCTTGATTGTTTGCCAGGACAATATTGTAAAATATGACCCTGTGTCCCGCTCCATTTTGCATGGTTCCCCTTCAATGGTCACGACTGCGTGGTATTTCTCCTGCTCATATGCATCTGTGTGTCCCACGGTTGTGTGATGGATTTCTCTGGGAGCTTGGTATTGGTCCTCTCTTCGTCTGCTCCGTTGCTGGCCAGCTCTAGGGTTCCCTGGTCTTCCTGATGGGGCTATAGGCTTCGGCTGAAAGGGAATGGGTTGGGGTGCTTTGCAGGCTTCGGCAATGTGGCCCTTTCTTTGGCATTGGCGGCATGTTACGTCCCAGAAACGGCAAGCTGCCCTTGTGTGGAAACCCATGCAGCCCGGGCAACGTGGCTGCCTGCTCTCCGCATCCCTGGGGTTCTGCCATTTTTCTGGGTATACATGGTGGATGGTGTCGTCTGTGTCGTCCCAGTCGCCATCAAACTCAGGAACTTCGGTTGACCAGTCGGGCTCCCGGTATGTGTGGTGCACCCCGCTGGTCTTCCTTATGTTTGCTGCCGAGTTGTCTGATGATTCTGCAGCCCTGGACAACGTCCTTGAATGAGACCCCTCTCCTTATCTACAGTTTCTTTTGTAGAGCGAGGTCCTTCATCCCCAGGATGATCTGGTCCTTCATCATTTCTTCGGGATTTATGAACTCGCACCTGGTAGCGATTTCCCGGAGGCTGGCCACAAAAATCATTGATGGTTTCTCCCTCTCGTTGGTGCCAGTGATAAAACTCATTTTGGCTGGCTGTGGGGGTGGCGGATGGTGCATAGTGGTCTTCCAGGGCACGTTGCAGGGTGTCCCAGGTGACGGTCTCCACATCTGCTGGGGCGATCAGCATCTGTGCCATTTTGTAGATCTTGGTGCCACAGTAGGAATAACGCTCGCTTTCTGTTGTCCGGCCTGTCCTGGTAATCGTTGGCCTCCAGGAACCTTCTGAAATGGCCCATGTATGTGTGCCAGTCTTCCGTCTGCAGATTGAAAATCGCTGGGGCCAGCGATACTTGCAATGCCATTCATGCAGGTGGTTGGAGATCCTTGTTTCAAGACAGCTGCGTGGTTCACAAGGAGGTTCTCAAGTCCCTTTGTCCTTTGTCACCAGTGTTAGATCGGCGCAAAGCAGCAGGCGAGAGTCGTTAGTGAATTCAGCACCTTTTTATTTCCCGCAAAATGTGACTGCTCTCTGCCAGCTGGGCTGCCGGAGCTCACCCTTTAAGGAGCTCCAGGCAGACCAGGCGGCCAATGACAGCAGGTTAAATCTCCCACGGTCCGGACAGCCAATCAGCGGAGAACATGAAACCTTATGTAGATTCTAGCCAATCCATACATAACAAACTGGGTCACAACAGATGTCCTCTGCCCACCAGCCAGAAGCGTTCAGGGAAGGAGGAAGAGGAATGAAGCTGCTTCCTCTTTGAAAGGTGCAGTTGGAGCCTCCGGGCAGGAACACACCCACCTACGGTCTCCCTCCTGGATTGGGGGGTGGGGGGAAAGATCGACACCCCCCCAGGAGGGCCAGAATTTGGCATCTCAATGGAAAAGCTCCTGAGAGGGAGAGAGCTCCAATTGAATGGGAGGAATAGGACGAAGGTTTCCCCTCCCTCTGCTCTGTTGTAGCTCTCTCCTTGTTTGGCTACCTGGACAGAACTCAGCAGCCTTCAGAAAAGGAGGAAAGCCCCCTCCTCAAATTGCCTGGAATTCCCCCACCCCAAATACATGTGCTTCTGTCCCACACCCTGCTCTTTATATATATATATCCTTACATATACATCCTTAGAAAGGATGGAAGGCTGAGTCAGCCTTGAGCCTGGTAAGATTTGAACCTGCAGTAATTGCAGGCAGCTGTGTTAATAACAGGGTGTTTAAAACCACTGTACTACCAAGGCTCCCCCTCCCCCTCCCCCTTCCGGTTGCCTTTCCTAACAAGGAAGAAGGGATCCCCCTCTGCTACTCCCCCTCTGATTGCCTTTCCTAATATTGGGGTCTCGGCTCTCCCACCCACCCATCAGCATCTCCCACAGATAAGGAATCGCTTGTTCTGGTGTAAAAGGAGCAGCTCCTTGACCTGCTCTCCACCAATGCCCAGGAGGAGCCCTGCTCTCACCCCATTTGACTCCCCTGCCCCATGAAATGCCAGTTTGGGGGACTCTGCGCTTCTGTGGGCCTCACCTGGTTGGAGGGAATCAGGAATCCCCGGTGGCAGGTGGACACGCTGCTCTCCTTCGCTGCTTCTCTGCCAGATCTCCTCATCCTTTGAGCTGCTGGTGGAGTTTATGATGGAGTTTATGATGGGAACAGAGTCCAGAGACTGTAATCTCCTTTCAAGCAATTAGCATATCCTGCTGCATCGCATCGGCTCTTCCGGTTCTCCTATCCTAAAAAGGGTCCCTGGAATAGAGACCATGTTTTCTCTCCATCCTTTAAGGTCTCCTTCAGTATCTGCTCCAGCCTGGAAGGCTGAGGGAGAGGAGGGGGAAAGGGGAGGGTCTTCCTCAAAGCAGGAGAAACTGGGAAGCCCCTCACCTGCCCTACCCTCTGCCTCTGGTAAGGGGGAACAGCTGCAGCCCACTTCCTCCAAAGGCTGGACCACCACTCTGCCCGTCAGTCCCGGGTTCAAGGCTCAGCCTGGGAATCTTAAGGAAAGCCTCGTCTTCTGCTTTATCTTCAGTGCATTCAGAAAACGAAAGAGGAAGGACCAGAAAAAAATACCTTTCACCTGCTCTTTTCAAGCAGCCTTTCTATTTAATTATTCATTTAAGTCAGTTTACTTTGCAAGAAAAAACACACCAGGAAACGTGTTTGAGAAATGAGTTCCACATCTGTCCAGCAGAGGGAAGCAAAGACATCTCTTGGTCCTTCACTCTGCAGCTGTTCCCCAACTGGACAACTTTAAGACTTGAGGACTTCAACTCCCAGAAGTCCAGAGCCTGCTATGCTACCTGAGGAATTCTGGGAGTTGAAGTCCTCAAGTCTTAAAGTTGCCAAGTTTGGAGACCCTTTGATCTGTAGAGCTGCTTCTGCTCATAGGGAAGTTGGCAGATGCTCCCCCGGCCCTCCTTTCCAGGCACCCAGATGCCTTCTCCTGCGACTGTCCATCATGATGGCTGCCAGTCCAACCTGGTCCCTCGCCCAGGCAGCTCCAGTTGCTTCGGTCAGCTGGACTCTGCTGTCTTGTCATCCCTTCCAAACAGGCAGGTCACGCTGTGGCATGGTGGTCTTCCTTCCTCTCTCTCTCCGTCTTCTCCTGCTGCTTGCTGGTCTCTCCTTCCATTGCCTCTGTTCCTTTGTTCATTCCCCGGCCTCCCTCCCTTTCTCTCGATCTCTCTCTTTTCCCTCCCTCCTCCTTTCCCGCTCTTTCCCCTCAGGCCTCGCTCTCTACTTTTCCCTCAGGCTAATCGATTTACCTTTCCAAGCTGAAGATATTGCTTCAAGCCTGCCACTGCCATAACTCGAGAATTACCTGTACTGTGGCTGAGCGAGGAGAGCATTTTGGGGGGCTTTTTTGTCTGTCAATCACATGATCTCCAGGCAGTGCAGGCACCCGAGAGCCCCTCCGCTTTCCCTTTCCTGCTGTTTGGACGCGTTCGCTTTCTCAGTCCGTGGGGTAGGGAGGGAGAGGGGAGGTGGAGGTGCAGGGAAGGCCGTGAGTCTAATTATGGTCACAGATGGGGCAGCCCACAGGTAGGGGACCGACTGGGGGCCCTGTGGAGAACAAGCAGAGCAAAAGAGTTCCTGATTGATAGAATGGGGGACTCTCAGAACTGAAAGGGTCTCTTGAGGCCATCTAGTCCAGCCCCTGCACAGAGCCAGCATCCACCTAGGATCTCACAGGCTGTCCAGCCTCTGAAGGCCCTGCTCTCAAAGGGCTTTTTCTGTTAGGAACCGGTTCTAATAGTTGGACTACCTTCTATATCCAATAAACACACTTGGCTTCTGCCTTCCCAGGACACGGCTGTCCACCTGACTGGGCAAATCTGCTCTCTGTTGAGGGAGTGTGTGGGGGTCTCCTTGGCCTCAAAATCCTGCAGAATCAGAGCCCCTGTCCAAGTCAGGGTGCCAACTCCTGAAGCTTTCCTGACCCCTCCCCAGCTGCCATAGGTGGGAAGGGGTGGGGGAAATCGCACCTCCTGCTTTTATTAGGGCATCGGTGGGAACCCTGACACAGGGGTCCTCAAGGGGTCCCTCAGATGCCCCCGGGGCCCTGCAAGCATCCTGTCTGAGGGAGCCCCTGTGGCCAGTAGAGTCTTTCAGGGGCCAGGGATGACCACGTGGGAACCATCTGAAGCCCCCCCCAATGATTGGGCCACGGATAATGGACACTGTCGCTCTATATACCAGTCCCTGGAAGACTCTGCCATCCTGACCAGGTGATGGTGGGGGTCGCTATGAGCTGGCTCACCCCCCTTCACCTGGACCCTTATCCCTAGGGCATACCTGGGGAAGAGATTCAGGGCCACTGGGTTTGGGCACCCCCCCCAAAAAAAACAGCCCTAGGGTGGCCCCAGAAGGGAATTTCCAGTTTCTCGGCTCCTGGGTTTGGTTGTGTCTTGCAGCCAGCTGAGATAGGGGCTCTCAAACTTCACTGGGGGGGGGAGGGAGAGGCTTCATGTCAATCATTTGTATCCCCACCCCAAGTTCTCAAGGAGAACATTTTTTTCATGGCTCCCTTGACCACTTTCTCTGCAGGGCTGTGTCCCCCCTTCCTGTCTTTGGGGCTCCGTCTCTGGGAAGGAAACTGAGATAAGAAGGAGCTGGAGGGATTTCAGACCCACTGCAGACGTTCTTGGGAGCTCCCACCCCACAAAGGGGAAGTGTTATGTATGTATCTATTTTGTGCAGGAAATTCAGATGTAGGAATGCCTGTGATTGGTTAACGGTTATTTCAGAACTGTATATAAGAAGGGCTGTTGCCTGTGTTCTTTGCTGAAGTCTCACCCTGAATTAAAGAGCTGTTGTCACTTGCTTGCTTGTGCCTCTCGTTATTCCCGCGCTACAACATTGGCGATGAGGATGGGATTGAGGCCATAAGAAGAGCCTTGATAGTACAGTGGTCTACGCACCCTGTTATTAACACAGCTGCCTGCAATTTACTGCTGGTTCGAATCTCTCCAAGGCTCAAGGTTGACTCAGCCTTCCATCCTTTCTAAGGTAGATGAAATGAGGACCCAGTTTGTGGGGGCAATAAGCTGACTTTGTATAAATATACAAAAGTATGAAGGCTATTGCTTAACGCATTGTAAGCCGCCCTGAGTCTCCGGAGAAGGGCGGCATATAAATCAAATTAAAAAAAAAAAAAGAAGCAAATCAAAAAGAACTTTGAGTTTCAGCCAGGGTGACGAGTGGACTACGAAGACATACGGTGATGTCTGCCTACGTTCTGCCAAAACACTTCGACCAGACCCGAGAGAAGTGGGGGTCATATCTGACCAGGTTCGAAGCAAGTGAGATGCAAGGTCTCTCAGCGAACCGAAAAAGAGCTCTCTTCCTGAGCCACTGCGGGCCAGATGTTTTCGAAATGGCCGAATCCCTCTGCGAACCAACTCCGGTTTAGACAGTCCCCTGGGATGTCCTACAAGCTAACCTGAGAGCCCACTACGCTCCTGTTCCTTCGAAGTTTGTACAACGCTACGAACTCCGGCAACAAGTACAAAGAGAAGGAGAACCAGTCAGCGCATATGTGGCTGCCCTTCCAAAAGCCGCAACGCATTATTGCAACTACCAGGATCTAGACGACGCACTCCTTGAACAGTTAATTTGTGGCATAAGAGACACTCGATTACAGAGGTGCCTGCTTGCGAAGCCGGATTTGACATTAGCCGGCGCGCTAGATGAAGCTAGGGCACAAGAAGCGTCCACCAAGGCTTCTAAAGCGCTACAACGTCCTCAGTCGGGCAAAGATGGGCCAAAGTCAACACCTGTGCATAGAGAGGAAGAGCAGACCAGTACGGAGGAAGAGTCAGATGAGGACGTCTTCCACACGGACAAAAATAAGGGCGAGCAAAGTCGTCGCCGGGAAAACTGCTCGAGTTGCGGTGGACCTCATGAGACAATCCTGCAAATACCGAGATGCCATTTGCAGACGTTGTGAAAAGAAGGGCCACTTGGCTGGAGTCTGTAGAGCTCAATTCCCATGAAATAACAAGCCACGTGATCATCACAACCAATCAGAACCGACACGTTCAAATCAGCCAACCAGAGATGGCGGCGCAAGAAAACGGCGCAAGAATCAAAAGCGGGACACCTACAGCACGAGAATCGGCCAAGCCAGCATGTCTGTAGAGGAAAAGGTCTACACGAGAGTAGAAATCGAAGGGAGACCATGCGACATGGAAATCGACACCGGGTCTGCAATGTCAATCATGTCCTGGGCAACGCCTAAATCTCTTCTACCGAAGTTCTGGAAAAGTCAGCTATCACGGCAACGAGTTCGCCTCCTCGACTACCAAGGAAACAGAGTTCCACTGGAAGGCGTGGGCACGTTCCGGGTCCCCTATGGCGAGTTCCAGAAAAAACTTCCCCTGACAATTGTCAGCAAGCCGCTGCCAAGCCTCCTGGGCCTAGCTTGGTTCTGAGCCCTCGGAATGGGTTTCACGGGCGTCCACAGCCCTGGCGGATCGTCTCTAAAGGACAGTCTCCTGCACAAGTTCCAGGACATTTTTGATGAGATGCTAGGCACGTATGTGGGGACCCCTATTTCTTTTAATCTAGACCCTAACGTAGCCCAGATTAGGTTGAAGGCAAGACGAGTACCATTTGCCTTAAAACCAAAAGTAGACGCAGAACCTGACAAACTGATCAAGCAAGGGGTGCTAGTCCCTGTTGATCATGCCAAATGGGAAACCCCAATAGTCACGACAGTCAAATCAGACGGATCAATCAGAATCTGCGCTGATTATAAATGCACGATCAATAAGGTGCTCCAACAGAGCGCGTACCCCGTCCCGATCGTCCACCATTTGCTTCATTCCCTGGGCCCTGGCAAGATATTCGCTAAATTAGACCTTGCACAGGCGTACCAGCAGCTGCCGGTAGATGTCGCTACGGCAGAATCGCAGACTATAGTAACACAGAGAGGTATGTTCAAGTGCACTAGACTACAGTTTGGGGTTAGCATTGCACCTGGACTCTTCCAAAGCACTATGGAGCACCTACTACAAGGACTCCCAGGGGTTGTTCCCTATTTTGATGATGTCCTCGTTAGTGGCCAGAATGAGGCTGAGCTTGGAGAAAGAGTGAGGCTAGCGCTCTCCAGGTTTAGAGAAGCGGGACTTAAACTCAAAAAGTCCAAATGTAAAATTGTGTACCCTCCGTAGAATTTTTGGGCTACCGAATTGACGGTTCGGGCATTCACCCCACAGAAAGCAAAGTGAGGGCCATACAGAATGCACCCACTCTGAAGTCAAAGCCTGAGTTGCAAGCCTTTTTGGGTCTTTTGAACTTCTATACCATGTTTCTGAGGGACAAGGCCACCATTGCGGAACCATTACACAGGTTGCTAGGAAAAAACGTTCCTTGGGTTTGGGGCAAGACTGAAGCGGCCGCATTTAAAGCTGTCAAAAAACTTTTGTCAGAAGACAGTTTTCTTATCCAATACAACTCTGAGCTGCCGCTTGTGCTGGTCTGTGATGCGTCCCCTTTTGGAGTGGGTGCTGTGTTGAGCCATAGACTACCGAATGGGCTAGAGGCGCCCATTGCGTATTACTCTCGCATCCTGTCCAGTGCAGAACGGAATTACAGCCAGCTGGACAGGGAAGCCTTAGCGGCTGTGGCGGGGGTCAAAAAATTTCACAAATATTTGTTGGCTGGACTTTTGAACTTATAACGGACCATCAGCCATTGTTGGGACTTTTGGCTGGCGACAAACCAACCCCGGCCACTCTCTTCCCCCGGATGACCAGGTGGTCTATTTTCCTGGCCGCTTATTCGTATCGCCTAATCCACCGACCGGGCCGGACTCTGGGCCATGCTGACGCCCTCAGCTGCTGCCCCTTGCCCGAACTGTTGGAAAACTTGACTCTGGAAGCCCCTGTCTTGTTGATTGATGTTGTATCCCTGGGGCCCCTTTCGTCTAGCGAGGTGGCGAGGGCATCTACCAAAGACACTGTCTTACGAACTGTTATGGGCTGGGTCATGAGGGGGTGGCCAACTAAGGTGGACAATGGGGAATTTCAAGTGTTCTTTAACAAAAATAATGAGTTGTCTATGTTGGGGGGCTGTTTATTATGGGGTGATAGGGTGGTTATTCCCTCACGGTTAAGGCATCGTGTGTTGGAATTGGTACATGAGGGGCACCCTGGTATTGTCAGAATGAAGAGTCTGGCTCGGAGTTATGTGTGGTGGCCGCAACTTGACAGGGATGTCATAGAGTGGGTTGGAAATTGCAGGCCTTTCCAGGAGTCCCGACCAGATCCCCCGGTAGCTCCCGTCAGAGAGTAGGAAAAGCCTAAGGGACCATGGGGGAGGATCCATATTGATGGGGCAATAGGTTGATTGGTTGCTGCAGAGGGGTTGGGAAAGGAAATTTATCTGGGGAACAGGGGGGCAACAGGAAGGGCAATGAAATTGAAATAATGAGTGGGAGGGGCAGGTACGACGGGCACAGGGGGCCATATCATGTGTCAGGGGTGCGCACACGCTGTTTATGAGCAATTGCGCACCCCGGCCCCCAATGCACAACTCGTGGCCTGGGTTGTGCAGAGTCACAGGCCCAGGGTCCGCGGCTGATGTTGTGTAATGCCAGGTCGGTTGTTAATAAAGCCCTCCTCATTTGTGATCTTATTTTGGAGGGGGGTGCGGACCTGGCAGGTATTACGGAGACCTGGTTGGGCCAAGAGGGGGAGGTCCCTCTCGTCAAAATGTGCCCACCAGGTTTCCGTGCATTTCATCAGCCAAGGGCCCAGGGGAGGGGTGGGGGAGTGGCGGTGATTATTAGGGAAAGTCTTTGTCCGAGGGAGACCACTGTTCCTCAGATAGCCGGATGTGAGTCCCTTTTTGTGAAGTGGGGCCGTGGGGTGCAGATGGGTTTGCTGACTATGTACCTGGCTCCCTGCCACGTGGCAGCGACCCTGCTACTCGACGTCATTGCCGGGGTGGCGGTTGATACCCGCAGACTTATTGTCATGGGGGATTTCAACCTTCCATCTGCGGGTGAGGCGTCAGAGGTGGCTGTATAGAAATAAAATTATTATTATTATTATTATTATTATTATTATTATTATTATTATTAGTTAATCTTTAGTGAGATTCACAGCCTTTGAGGCTGGTTAATCGCTCAGCAGCTCGAGTCCTAACCAAGGACCTAGGAACTGTTAAGGTATCGTCGGAGGATGTAAGCTGTTCCGAGTAAGGTGGTTTTTTGTAGAGTCAAAATGTTCAAGTCTGGCAAATTTAGAATTTCTAAATAGCGGGGTAGCCCTTTGGGTATTGCTCCGAGGGCTCCAATTACAATCGGGAGAACACACAATTTCTTTTTCCACAGTCGCTCAACTTCAATTTGTAAGTCCCGGTACTTTGTGATTTTTTCTTGCTGCTTATCTTCAATTCGTGCATCACCAGGTATTGCAATGTCAATGAACCATACTTTTTTCTTTTCAACTATTGTTATGTCAGGTGTGTTGTGGACCAAGTGCCTGTCAGTCTGAATCCTAAAGTCCCACAAGATCTTGAGTTTCTCATTCTCTAAAACTTTCTCAACCTGATGTTCCCAGTGGTTTTTGCTGTACTCAAATCCAAACTTCTGGCACAATTTCCAGTGAATAATTTTAGCAACACGGTCATGGCGTTGTAGGTAGTCAGTTTGTGAAATTTTGCTGCACCCACTGATCAGGTGGTCAACTGTCTCTTCTTTTTCATTGCAGAGGTGGCATTTGCTGTTGGTGGTAACATGTTGAATTTTTGCCTTCATACAGTTTGTGGCTAGGGCTTGTTCTTGAGCTGCCAAAATAAAGCTTTCTGTTTCTTTTTTCAGTACTCCTGATCTTAACCAGTTCCAAGTTAGTTTCTGGTCAGCTTTGCCTTCAATACTTTTCAAGTATTGGCCATGCAGAGCTTTGTGTTTCCAATTTTCAGCTCGCTGCTCAGTTACTTCTTTCTTATATTCTGCTTTTGTTTTAGTTGTCTTTAAAAGGCCTCCTTTATTTAGTTCCTTAATCATTGGTTCTTCACTTTTCTGGATGTAATCATTCAAGCTGTGTTTTTCTTCTTCCACGGTCTGCTTTACTTGTAGGAGTCCTCGACCACCCTCTGCTCTATTATTATTATTATTATTATTATTATTATTATTATTATTATTATTATTATTATTTTGCAGGGCCTTTCCACGGGCAGAATTTCTTAATAATTGTTGACACCTTTTCCAAATCGCTGGAAATAGCCTTAATGCCATCAACCACTTCCGAGGCGGTAATTAAGGTCCTCAGGAAGCTATTCGCAACCCACGGTTTACCAGACACCCTGGTATCAGATAATGGGCCCCAATTCATGGCGACTCAATTTGAAAGCTACCTGGCCGAGTTAGGCATCCGCCATGCATTATCTGCCCCGTTCCATCCGGCTTCGAATGGCCTTGTAGAGAGATTCGTACGAACGACAAAAGAAGCCCTTTCCCGACTCGATGCGGGGGACTGGCAGGCTAGGATTGATCAATTCTTAGCCGTACAGCATGCAACCCCGTGCACTGCCATAGGGCGCAGCCCAGCAGAACTTTTAATGGGTCGGAAACTTAGGTGCACTCTTGATCGCTTACATCGAACTATTCCACAGATAATTTTAAGGGGGAAGAGGAAGGATTAAGACAATTCCAGATCGGGACCCCGGTATTTGCAAGGAATTATACTAGTGGTCCGCTGTGGATAGGGGGAATTATTGTTGGAATCACTGGGCCGAAATCATACACAGTGGATGTAGGGCAAGGAAAAATTTGGAGAAGGCACATAGATCAATTGCGTAAATGTTTGAATTGTGAAGCCTGTAAAAGTCCCGATATTGTTAACCCTAATTTCCAAAGTTTCCCTGAAAGAGCTATCTCAAGCCCAAGTAAACCGGATTACTTTTCGGGTAAGCCTGAGTTCCAGCGCCGCCCCAACAAATCGACACTCCCAGCTGGGGATGGCCACGCCTCTGGAGAAATCCAGGAGGTTCCATTGGCGGGCCCAGGAGAGACGGGAGGTCCCTCTGACTGGCTCGACGCCTCACCAACAACTGAACTGCACAGGTCAACCAGAGTGAAGTCACACCCAGGTCACCTGCGTGATTTTGTATGTAAATATGTAAATAGATAGAATAAGTTCCCTCTGGAAATGGAGGGGTGTTATGTATGTATCTATTTTGTGTGGGAAATTCAAATGCACGAATACTTGTGATTGGTTAACAGTTATTTCAGAACTATATATAAGAAGGGCTGCTGCCTGTGTTCTTTGCTGAAGTCTCACCCTGAATTAAAGAGCTGTTGTCACTTGCTTGCTTGTGCCTCTCGTTATTCCCGCGCTATAACAGGAAGGCTGAGAAGAAACACCTGGAGTGGAGCTGAGGGACACTAAAGAGATGGGAAGGACCCAGCAGGAGCCTGATTTCCACCCAGAAGGACCCAAAGTGAAAAGCTTTCGGGGAGACCCTGCATTCTGACTCACCCCTCGAGTATATTCTCCTCATTCCATGTCCCCCTCCTCCAGGGAGTCAGGGCAGTCTCCCTCTTCTCTTCTGCCTTGTGAGTGCATCATTGTGTGGAATCAATTATGCTGAGTTGAACCAATCTCCCAGTTTCCCCAAACCCCCACTCCCAAAAAAGACAGCCTCTTTTGTAAGAACGGAGGAAATTTACTAAGACAATCTCAGGGTGAAAAAGAGGGGGGTAGTTTCACATGGTGCCTAGATCCTATGCATGCACGTATGGGGCTTTGCTCTCTTGCGTGGCCCAGTTGAGTTGGGGAATTGGCTCAGGGAGAGTCGGCCACCAATCTCAGACTTGGGTTCTTCAGAGGTCACGTGGTGAGGGCTGAATTGGAACACAGAACAGAAGGGCTCAACGTTCTGACTGACCAATCAAAGCAAGCACGGTCGAGATGATTCAATCTCTTAATGCAAAAGTTGAGGGCAAAACCAGATCTAGCTAATTCCCACCCAGAGCCACAAAGTTGAAGTTCGGGTTCTCCCTCCCCCTATTGGACCAGCTCCCATTGTCCAATGGAGTCTCCCGTTATTGATCTGAGACAGTCTGTTAAACACCTGCTGAAGTGTCCTTGGTTCTCACGGCTGGCATCTTCATTCATTCATTCATTCATTTTCTTTAACATATGTAGGTATTTAATAAACAGTGTATTCTCTGGGTCATTTTACATATACATAATAATAGTAATAATAATACTGTTTGCCTGTATCTAATAGTATTCTTCCAACTTCTAATTTCTACTTTTATTATCTAACCATTGATAAAACAAATCCCAAGTTAAAAAATATTCTGTATCTTCTTTATCCTTTATCTTTAATGTTAATCTATCCATTTCTGCACAATCTTAATATTTTCTTCATTATATTATCATCTGAAGGAGTTTCCTCATTTTTCCAATGTTGGGCAAACACAATTCTCGCTGCCGTCAAAACATGCAGCATCAGATATATATTCCCTTTATTATATTTTTCTGGCAAAATGCCTAACAAGAATATTTCTGACTTGAAGTCTATATGTTGCTTTTTAATTTTTTCTAGCCCTGAATGTATTTTCGTCCAATTTTTTTCTTTTTGACTTTGGGCAGGTTCACCACATCTGGAAATACGAACGGGGTATCTGGTTGCATTTCCAACATTTGGTGGACGTATTTTTAAACATCTTTGCTAGCCTTGCCGGTGGGAAATGTCACCTATAGAACATTTTATACAGGTTTTCCTTCTACATAGTTGCCATTGTCAATTTATACTTTCTATCCCAAAGTTTTTGCCATTGATATAATTTTAAAGTAAACCGAAAAGTTTTTGCCCACGTGATCATTATTTCTTTCACTTGTTCATGTTAATAAATAGCTATATTTTCTTTCTTAATTTTTCATCCACACCTAATAGTATCTGATCAAGTATTGTTGGCTCTTTATAGAAACCGTATTTCTCTACATCTTTTTCGCATCTTGACTGTATTTGCAAGTGTGGCCACCGTGCGAGGTTCACCCCTTGATTTGGCAATTCCTGTTTAGTTTCAAGTTCCCCTTTCTCATTTAAAATATCTTTATACGTTACAATGTTTCCCTGAATGTTTATACAATGTTTATACTCTGAAAAATACGGTAAGTTCTCTCTCCCTCTTCCCTCCCCCATAATTGGTTGGAAGCGGAGAAGCTGTGATAGTTGCAACAGCAAAATCTCCTTTGGAAGCTTGAAGGGACTTTTGGGAGGAGAGGCTCAATCAGAGAGACTTCCTGGTCTCTGATGGAAACAATCAGAAGTTGGGTCTTTTGTTGATGTTCATCATGTCTTCTGTGTAACAAGGAGCACAGGTGTTCTTGTACACTAGGTCATCAATCATGGTCATCAGTTCAGCCACCTGAGCCTCTCGTTCAGCTCCTTTGGCCTCGTTGTTGAAAGCCAACATCCGGTTTCCACATTCAGCAACGTATTTCTTCATATTTTCAACTTTGGAATACATAAACTTTTGTAGAGATTGACCTTCCAGGTAATCTTTGTGGGTGCACAAGAGGATTGTGTAATCCTTGGCTTTAAGGCCAAAAACCTCTTTGATCTGCTGAACCACGTTCGTCTCCTGATGGAAGGAACAGAAAGGATGCATCACGTGCAGAATGACGTGGGGACCTGGAGAGCAAAACTTCATGCACTTGCTCACTTCTGCAGCAATAGCCTTGTCTGGACGATGGGAAGAGGAAAAGTCAGGGGTATCAACAACCACAATCTTCCTGCCCTTCAGCTGCGCCTTCTCCTTTTGGCATACTTCTGTTACTGACTGAAATGAGCTCCCAGACTGAAAGACTTCCCTTCCCAGGATTGTGTTTCCTGTCGTACTTTTCCCACTTCTGCGTTCCCCCACCAGGACGATCCTCCGTTCAGGCCCTGCAAGCCAAAGGGGAGAGGAGAGAAAAAGGGGATTGGTCAGTAGTGTAAAGCCTGTCCCTCCATCCAGGACAACTGATCCCACCCCCTCCCCCCACCCCCCCACCCCCCAGGGACCAAGACTTTACCTTGGATGCTTCCAGACATTTCCAGACCAGTCGCACAGCACAAAAGCCGGGATTTCTGGGTGAAAAGAGAAACAGAGTCAGCCAAAGGAGAGGCTGCCTTGCAGGGAGGTTGCACAAACTCTCTTCCCCCAGAAGACACAGGGAGGAATTGCGGGGATGGTAAAAATGAGCCACCCCCTCCTTACCGCCCTTGAGGCAGACCCATCTGATCCTTCCCCTCCACCCCACTACCCCCCTTTTTATGCAGCCCTTCAATTCTTGGGATCCTGCACTTTGGGGGTTTCAGGAACGGGGGTGGGTGGTGGGGGGGTTGATGTCCAAAGTGGCTGTCAGCTCCCCACAGCTGACTGTGCTCGAAGAGACCCTGTTCTCTGGTCCCTGTGCTCCTGTTGCAGCTCCACACTGTCTCCAAGGGTCCCCCCAGATCGTCTTCCTCTAGGTTACCCCCTCCCCTCCCCAGCCCATCACTCGGGAACCTCCCCTGCCCCATGGCTCTCCTCCCTGAGTGGGGAGTGGGGGACTTTGGGGGTCTTCTCATCCAACCCCCTGCTCAAGCAGGAGGCCCTATATAATTTCACCCTTGGTTTCCTTTCTTCAGAATCTCCAGAGATGGAGCATCCACAACTAATATCAGGCTATTCTAATTCTCCTCCTCCTCCTCCTCCTCCCCCTACTGAGGTTACCTCAGCAGGCCTCCCCGTAGGACAGATGCAAGTGATCGCCTCACTCCACTGACTGAGCCCTCCCGGAGTCACAGCTGCACATCGGAATTGGTACTGAAGATTTAGGTGGACATCTTCCAGGGTGAATTGATCCTTAGAGCCTTCAGTACTGAGACTTTTCCAATTGTCTCCTGCAATCCGATATTCCACCTGGTAGCTGGAGACCGAAGCCTTCCCGATGGCTACCAGATCAATACTGACCTGGAAACTATTTGGGTGCAATTGCTCAACCATAGGAGGGGGAGGTCTTCTAAGAGCAGCTTCCAGTTCCTGATGTTTCTTCAAGAACTCCATGGTCAAGGTTAAATTTTTGGTTTCCAGCAACTTTAATGAGTCAAAGAAATCCTTCATGCTCTCAGTGTTCATTTTCCATAACATTTCAGAAGCAGCATTAGGGCTTCCTCCATATTCTCGGGGAGCAAAGACGGCTGAATTGTTGAATCTGAAGTGCAGAGGGATTCCCGACTCGTCCTAAGCACCCGGCAGGTCAGTCTCCTTGAGGGCCTCCAGGACAGGTGGGGTCCCCCCATCCGCAAAGCTGATCAGGAGTTGGATGTTATCCTTCAGGTCTTTTCCCAACATGGAGAGCATGGAATCAAAGACGCATTTCTGGGCGTGAGTTGAATGGGCAAGGAAGGCCTGGGCCACCAAGCAGATGGCATCCACGTGGTCAATGCCCCCTGGGGTGGAGAAAAACTCCAGGAGCTGCTTCTCCAACAATTTGTTTTGCTCTGCATCTCTTGTGCCTCCAAATCCTGGAGTGTCAATGATTGTGAGAGAATAGGGAATTCGGAAACATTTCTGATGGTTCACCACAAAGGCTGTGACTTCAGACGTCCTGCTTCCAGCTTCTCTCCTCTGAGTGGTTTCATGAATGAGTTTGAATCTGAAATTATCTTCCCACTGGACACCCAGGATATAATTGATCATCCCATTGATCAGAGTGGTTTTCCCAGACAGGGTTGCTCCCATCACCAGGATCATTTTATTGGGCACTTCCGGGTTCTCCTTTCCAACCTGGTACATGAGACAGGATCTGGAGGAATCTGAGGGGACTTTCTCTAGAGGAAGGGTGAACACTAATGGCTGTCTGTCCTCCACCAGGGAGCTTTCCTGAAGGAACTGGGTGGCTACATTGCCTGCATCTTCTTCCTCTTCCAGTGATGTGGAGACCTCCAACTCCTCACTGGGGACACTAAGAGCTCCATTATCACACATTGCCAACACCCGTATTCTATACGCCGTCTGGGGCTGCAGACCTTCAATGGAATAAACCTCTGTTTTACTCCCAGTCCTTCTTTCAGTCCACTGGACACTCCCAATTCCAGCCTCCACCATTCTGTACTCCACCTTGTACTCCTTGACCACAACTCCTGAGGCAACAATGCTGGGACTCATCCAGGCCACAGAGATGACTGAAGATGCTGCAGTGACCATTCTTAATTTCTCAGGAGGGCTGGTGGGAAGGGTCTTTATGGGTGGGCTCAGGTCACTGGTTCTACCATGGCCTACCTTGCAACAAGCACATACTGGAACTGGTACTCTGTGTTTGGAAGCAGATCTTTCAGCAGGAACATCTCCCTGGCATCCTCTGTCCTCACGGTCTTCCAGTTTTCTTCTCCTGCAACCTTGTACTCTACCAAATAGTTGGAGATGGAAGCCTTTCCATGTTCAGCTGGTTGAAACTTCAGTTGAATGCTGTCATGTCTCAGTTCACTGATCAGGAAAGGGAGAGGTTTTGAGGGCAACTCAAAGTTCTTGGTGACCAGCTCTCCCTCTTCATAAAGATGCGTGGTAGGGCCTGGTGTGTCCAGATCTGGGAGAGAGGCCACAACAAAGCAGACCTTCTCATTGGATTGATTGACGCTCAAAAAGTCTTTGATGGATTTGGCAGTTCGGCGAGCATTGCGGGTCCTCTCCTTGTCTTCAAACCAGGGTGTGTCCTCCTCCTGCCCAAGACTGGACCTTGTCGACTTCATGGATTCTTGCACCAAATGATCATGAAGCCAATCCTGTAGGCTCAACAGAAACGGCTCTGTTTTATGTAGAGAAGTGAATATAAAGGAGACTACATATAAATTCTGTGGGTCAAGAACTATTTTTTCCAGCTTGGTCTTGGATGAGATAACTTTTTCTTCACTTAGAATAGTCAAATAAGAGTTGACATGATTAATTTCTCTTTCCTTGGTGTCCAGAAATTCACAGAGCCTTTGGCTATTGAAGGGCGACTCCCTGATGGACATCAAGAGGTCCACCAGGGTCCCTTCCTCCTGCCCTCCTCCCTGGATAGAAGGCAACATTCTGGCCATCTGTTTTTGGAAAGTCTGCATGTGTTGCTTTAACAGATTCTTGAAATTCTGGATCTTTTTCTTGATTTCAGGGAATTTGTCAGCACTGTTGGCTACGTCATTGCTTTGCATCTCAATTTCGTTGAGTTCCTCCAAGATGTCTTGAGCATCAAAGATCAATGTTAGGCTGATCTCACGGACCATCTTAGCTGCTCTGCTGTCCAGTTTGGTCAGCGGGTAGAGCCAGACCCTCATAGGCACAGCCTTCTCCCCATGTTCCCCTAACATTTTTGGGAGAGTTTCATAAACTTTCATGGCATCTTGGAAAGTCACTGGATTTTTGTCCAGGGAAAAGTCTCCATGGAATGTGCAACTGAACATCCAAGCATTCTCTCTCTCTTCTTCATTTAGCTTGACCTCTGCTTCTCCTGTGGCGGATATCATCTTCTTAATTGTAACATGGAGATTTTCTTCCATATTTTTTACCATCTCCGTTGAAGGAACTTCTCGGTCAAACACAAAGAAGGCCTGGGCTCCATAGAGGATGGCAGTGACCACATGGGTAGCTGTGCCCTGCTCAAAGATGGTTGAGACATTCTGGATTCCTAGGTGGCTCATTGTCAACTGTTCATACCTGGTGGTGGTTTTGTACTGAACAGTGACTCTGGCCTGTTTCTTGGACTTCTTGGTGTCATGAAGATACTCTGCTGACCCTCTCACATCAATCAGCCCCGCAAGAAAACTGGCCTCGAGGGATCCTGAGATGTCCAGGGCAGAGGTCTTGTCATCAATGCTGTCAGATGCAATGATTTCAGTTGCTGTCTTGGGCTGAGGCTTGGTTGTCAGGTCCTTCTGAAGAGAGCTGTGGTCCCAAAGGGTGACCCCTGCATGGAACACAAGAAGACATGAAGATAAATGTGAAACCTGACCTCCAAAAGAATTGCAGCTGAGACAGAGCTTGAACGAGGGGTCATCATTTCTCCCAGAGGATAACCACATCTGTTCTGTCCAGCAACCTCTTGCCTGTTTTGCAAAAACCCCCAAAGGCTTTTGACTGAGTAGAGAGGTTTTGTCATTTTCCACAGCATTTCAGTGAGTTGGGTTTGGAAACCCTCCCCATGTTTGGTACACAGGGCTAGCGGTGCTGCCTGGTAAGTCAAAGGCTGGATACACATTCCCAGGCAGAAGACCCTACTCAGCTACCAGGTATTAGCAGGCCGCATGCTCAAGATGCCAGCTCTCAAGTGTCCTTGGACTAAGCCTGCACATTGATGGCAATGCCCGTCTCCCTCCCTCCCAGGTTTCCTGCCACCCCTCAGCCTCTCCTCTGGCTCCTACCTGGGATGAGGGCATCCTTGCGACAGTCATAAAACATCCCCAGCTGGAAGGGGCGGCCCAGGGCTGGAATCTCGATGGCGTCTTCGGCCACGGCCATGCTTGGTTCTTGTGTGTTGTTGACACTTCTGGTGCCCTGCAAGAGAGAGGAACCTTCTGGGGGAGGCCGAGACTGACTGAGGACTCTCTGAGGGGATGCAGGCAGGAGTGGGATTCTACCCGTTCACACCTAATCGCTAGAACCTGTTGTTAACTTTCTAAGCAGTTCGGAGAACCGGTTGTTGGAAGAAATCTCCATTTGGTTTTTTCCTCCATTTTACAGGGCTAATCCTGTAAAGAAGGCAGGAAGGAAACATTCTGGTGTTGTTCCTAGCCTGATCTTCATTGCCCTGCTTAAAAAAACTGCCTCTCCATTAACCCTTATTACATTCTTGGCAGTTCGCCTACACTTACTGTCCCTGAGGAGCTCCGGAGTTGTTGTTGTTGTTTTCTTTGCTGGTACTTTGCTGGCACTTGACTTTCTTGAAGGGGAAGGGTTGTTTTAAGGTTCTTACACTGCTGTTGGGAGGAAATACTGCCCTGTTGGAGTTCTTCCAGCCGGGATGCAAGGATCAGCACTTTGAAGAAATAATTGAATAATGAAGCAGAGCTGCTGGAAAGAAGATTTTAATGACAAGGAGCCAAGGTGAGTGACATTCAGCAAGGCTTCTTGGATAGGTAGAAAGATTGACTTTCAAACGTGAGTTTACAAACCCTTTCTGAGTTTTGATCTAAAACTGGTTTTTGGTGAAGTTTAATTCTGTGCTTGGTGACCTTTAATCCTGAGTTTATTGATGGGATAATTTTCCCTATTCAGCTTTGTCTGGAAGGAAAAAGGTTAATCTCTGTTCCTGAAAAGAAGCAGGGTTCAGAAATCTGGCTAGCTAGTTCCTGGGTCTATTTGTTCTGGTAAGTGGTTTAACAAGCTACTGTGTTTGCTTTTTTGATACATTCTAGCGCTAATTTATAGCGGCTGTTTATTTCTAGCGGCTGTTATAAAGGAAAGTCTTTGTCCGAGGGAGGCCACTGTACCTCAGATAGCTGGATGTGAGTCCCTCCTTGTGAAGTGGGGTCGTGGGGTGCAGTTGGGCTTGCTGATTGTGTACCTGGCTCCCTGCCCGAACTGCTCAACGTAATAGCCGGGGTGGTGGTGGAGACCCCCAGGCTTATGCTCATGGGGGATTTCAACCTGCCATCTGTCGGTGAAACGTCAGAGGCAGCCCGGGAGTTCATGGCTTCCATGACGGCCATGGACCTGACCCAGTTAATTCAAGACCCTACTCACACGGGGGGGGACCCACACTCTGGACCTGATTTTTGTCTCTGGTCAGTGGCTGAATGATCTAGAAACAGGTGATATAGTCATCAAGCCCTTGTCATGGTCAGATCATTCACTCCTTCGACTAGACTTTCGAGCCACTACCCCCCGCTGCAGGGAGACGGAACCGACTAGGTGGTTCCGTCCCAGATGCCTGATGGATCTGGATAGGTTCCTGAAGGAGCTGGGGCCATTCCCTGAGGCTCATGACTCGACTGAAGAACTGGTGGCTGCCTGGGATAGGGCAGCCTCTGGAGCTTTGGACCGCGTCATGCCTTTGCGGCCTCTGACCCGGTGCTGATCACAATTGGCTCCCTGCTTTTCTGAGGAGCTGAGAGAGATGAAGCGCCGGAAAAGATGCCTGGAGAGTGGTTGGAGGGCCAGCCATTCCGAATCTGACCGAACACTGGTGAGGTCTCATATTAAGATCTACCTAGTGGCGATAAGAACGGCAAAATCTAATTATTTTTCCGCTCTTGTTGCGTCTGCAGATAACCGCCTAGCCGCCCTGTTTAGGGTGACCCACTCCCTACTTCATTTGGGAGCGCGGGAAGACCCTTTGCAGGGTAGGGCTGAGGATTTTGTGCAATACCTGCATGACAAAATCGCTCAGATTCGGGAAAGCTTGGACTCCGACTGGGTAGGTTCAGATGGGGTGATGGAGGTGGGTCTTGAGAGTGTTATCTGGGAGGAGTTTGACCCTGTGACTCCCGAGGATGTGGACAGGATTCTGGGTAGTCTTAGCGCTGCCACGTGTTTATTGGACCTGTGTCCCTCCTGGTTGGTGCTGGCCTCCCGGGCGGTCACACGAGGCTGGCTCCAGGTGATTATTAACGCTTCTTTGAGTGAGAGTTTCTTCCCCTCCACCTTGAAAAAGGCGGTGGTGAGGCCCCTCCTCAAGAAGCCTTCCCTAGACCTGGCTGTATTAGCGAACTATCGTCCAGTCTCCAACCTACGCTTTGTTGCAAAGGTTGTTGAGAGTGTGGTGGCGCGACAACTTCCCCAGTACCTGGATGAAGCTGTCTATCTAGAAACGTTCCAGTCGGGTTTCAGGCCTGGATACAGCACAAAAATGGCATTGGTCGCATTGGTTGATGATCTCTGGAAGGCTCGGGACAGGGGTTGTTCCTCAGTCCTGGTCCTACTAGACCTCTCAGCGGCTTTTGATACCATCGACCATGGTATCATGCTGCACCGGTTGGAGGGGTTAGGAGTGGGGGGCACTGTGTTGCGGTGGTTCTCCTCCTTCCTCTCTGACCGCACACAGTCTATGTTGGCAGGGGGGCAGAGGTCGACCTCGAGGCGCCTTGTTTGTGGGGTGCCGCAGGGGTCGGTCCTCTCGCCCCTCCTGTTCAACATTTATGTGAAGCCACTGGGTGAGATCATCCGTGGTTTTCGGGTGAAGTTCCATCAGTACGCTGATGATACTCAGCTGTACATCTCTACCCCGGACCACTCCAATGATGCCCTTGCCGTGATGTCCTGGTGCCTGGAGGCCATGCAGACCTGGATGGGGAGAAACAGGCTCAGACTCAACCCCTCCAAGACCGAGTTGCTGTGGTTTCCGGCGTCCTGTTATAGCCAGCTGGTCCCATCGCTGACTATTGGGGGTGAGATTTTGGCCCCCTCAGAGGGCTCGCAACTTGGGTGTCCTCCTGGATACGCAGCTGTCTCTAGAAGATCATGTGATGGCTGTGGCCAGGGGGGCTTTTTATCAGATTCGCCTGATTCACCAGTTGCATCCCTTTCTGGATTGGGACTCCTTGCGCATGGTCACTCATGCTCTCGTCCTCTCCCCCCATCTGAACTACTGTAATGCTCTCTACATGGGGCTCCCCTTGAAGAGCACCTGGAAGCTCCAACTGGTCCAGAATGTGGCCGCGTGGGTGATTATGGGAGCGACATGGCGCTCCCATGTAACAGCTCTCCTGCGTGAGCTGCACTGGCTCCCGGTGGTCTTCTGGGTGTGATTCAAGGTGTTGGTTACCATCTTTAGAGCGCTCCATGGCTTAGGACCTGGGTACTTATGAGATCGCCTTCTGCTACCGATAGCCTCCCACCGGCCAGTACGCTCCCACAGAAAGGGACTCCTCAGGGTGCCGTCGGTCAAACAATGTTGACTGGCGACCCCCAGGGGGAGAGCCTTCTCTGTGGGGGCATCTGCCCTCTGGAATGTATTGCCCCTGGAGATACGGATGATCCCTGACCTACGCACCTTTCGCCGTGCCCTCAAGATGCTATTGTTCCAACAAGCTGGGCTGGCCTAAACATTAATTTTGATGGGTTGCTTTTATTTTATTTTTTAATGATTCGGGGCCAAATTATTTAATATGTTTTTAAATTGCTTTTAAATTTTATATATGTGCACCACCCTGACTCCTTCGGGAGAAGAGCAGTATAAAAATTTTATTAAATAAATGAAATAAATAAATAATAATTAGTTTCTTTGTAATTAGGCTTATCTCAAGTATTTACTCTTGAGCTTGCCTGGGGTGTGAGCTCTGGCAATGAGCCAGACAAGGCTTGTGTTTTAATTTTAAAAGGATTAAAACTGTTGTGATTTAATTATTGGTATTGTGTTTGAATTTTTTCCTGCCTCATGGTTTCCTTTTCTATCTGGGGAGGGGGTCTTCCTTCACTGCTTTAGTGGTTCCTGGCACTGTCCTTTTGGGGTGCACTTCCAAGAGGCAGGATGCAAACTTGGCACTGATTTTTTTTTACTGCCTTTCTAGGGGGGGGGGCTGTGAGCTTTCCTTAAATCCGGATGATTTCCTTGGGATATCTTGTGAGGTGAGACCAGCCGTGCTTGGCAAAGTTGGGAGGGCAGAGACGTGAACCTGGGTTCCCTATATGATTTGTTAATTTGTTTCTATAGCTCGGCATTTTGTAGCCCAAATCTGCCCACCCACTTTCTGGAGAGCTTAAATGACCTCTCTGCTAAAGGGTTTCACTTTATGAGCAAGATTTGGCTGCTGGTATTTATCATTTTATTGCAACTACTTTAATTCCTGAAGGTCCCCTGGCCCCTTGCCTGATGTGTAACTCCGGGTTGCAGGAATTCCTAGTCTAAGGATTGGTATTTAGGGCAAGCAAAGAAGCTTCTTGTATTTTTCTACAGGTAATCCTTGACTTACAACAGTTCATTTAGTGACCATTCAAAGTTACAATGGCACTGAAAAAAGTGACTTCAAAATGTTTATGAATAAAAAAAAAAGGATTGGGGAGACATTATAACAATCTTCCAGTATTTGAGGGGCTGCCCCAAAGAAGAAGGGGGGGGGGTTTCCACCTATTTTCCAAAAGCAGGAGAAGGCAGGAGAAGAAACAAGGGATGGAAACTCATCAAGGAGAGAAGCGGCCTGGAATGAAGGGGAAACTTCCTAACAGGGAGGACAGTGGAACAGGCGGCCACTGGAAGTTGTGGGGGCTCCAACACTGGAGGCTTTTGAAGAAGAGGTTGGAGAGGCCGTTGTTGGAAATGGACGAGCAGGAGATTGGACTAGAAGAGAAAGCTTGATCCACCCCCACCCCAGGAGAGCCAGAATTTGGCACCTCCATGGAAAAGCTCCCGGGAGGGGAGGGAGCTGCCATTGAGGGGGAGGGGGAGGGGGACGAAGGGGACCCTCCCTGCCACCCTCAATGGCGGCTCTTTCTTTCTTTGGCTGCCCGGAGAGAACTCAGCAGCCTTCAGAAAAGGAGCAATCCCCCCTCCCCAAATTACCTGGAACCCCCCCCCAACAACACAGGTGCTGCTTCTGTGCCAGGCTTGTGGCTCCGTTGCCTGCTTTCCCCTCCCTCCTCCGGCTGCCTTGCCTAAGAAGGAAGAGGGGACTCCGAGGGTCTCCGCTGCTCCCGTCATCCCCCTCGGAGGATCGCCTTTCCCGAGACGGGTCTCCGCCGTCCCCCCCACCCATCAGCCTCTGCCCGAGACCAGGACTCGCTTCTTCTTGACTTGCCCTCCACCGATGCCCAGGAGGAGCCCTGCGCTCGCCCCGCTCCCCTCCCATGCCCCACCCAATGCCAGTTGGGGAGGGGGTCTCACCTGGTTGGAGGGAATCGGGAATCCCCACCGGCAGGAGGATCTGCTTCTCTGCTGGATCTCTTCTAAGGAAAGTCTTCTGCTTCGTCTTCAGGGCGCTCAGGAAACGAAAGTGGATGGAGCAGAGAAACGAAACTTTTTCCCTCTTCTTTTCAAGCAGACTTCCTGTTTAATTTTTTATTTATTTTTTATTAATAATACAAAATTAAAAAAAAACATTGGACATAGATATGACATCACTGGTTCCAAATATCGTCCGTCACTTTACAATAATATTAGTACTCATATAAACATATAGTTCTTAAGCTTTGATCATTATTTAAACATAATATCATATTATGATATTATGATAATATTATAAGATCATATTAATATAATATGATATGATATTAATACTTTTCCCCTTATTTCTGCATATTTATCTCTTAAACATACATATTTATCTATAATAACGTCTATATTTTTGTTCTAACACTATACATTTGTCTTGGCTGCCCTCTTGTTATCTATCCAATCATAAAATTGTTCCCAGATTTTGTAGTACTTAGTTTCGTTTTTATCCTTGAGTTCCAAAGTGAGTGTGTCCATTTCTGCGCAGTTAAAGATTTTCAGTAGTATTTCCTCTTCAGATGGAATATCTTTCTCTTTCCATTTTTGAGCGAAGGCTATTTGTGCCACTGTGAGTATATGCAGTAATAAATAATTTGTATCTTTCTTATATTTTCTTTCCATAATTCCCAGTAAGAATAATTCCAGTTTGACTTCTGTATTTGTTGACAAAATTTCTTCCAGCCAGCTCTTTAGTAAATTCCAAAATGTTTGCGCCTTTGGGCATTCCCACCACATGTGGTAGTAATTCCCAACGGTCTCTCCACACTTCCAGCCTATCGAGGATTTCCCCTTATTCATTCGTGCTAATCTTGTGGGGGGGGGAGTGCCACCTATAGAACATCTTATAGAGGTTTTCCTTATAGGAAGATGCTAGTGTGGTTTTTAAATTTTTTCCCCATAAACTTTGCCAATTGTCCAAATCGATATTGTGCCCAAAATATTTACACCAAATTATCATCGTTTCTTTCACCTGTTCCTCAACATATCTTGTTCTAATAGATATCGGTATAGTTTACTTATGGTCTTGCCTTCCCTGCTAAATAAAAGTTTATCTAATTCTGATGATTCTTGCTTTATGCCCCATTCCTTTTTATCTTTGCTCAATTTAGATTGAATTTGGAGATACGCCCACCATTCCAATTCGATTCCTTCTTCCTTTAAAGTATTTCTCGCTTTTAATTCTCCTTTCTCATTCAAAATATCTTTATAGGTGACACCTCCCCCTCGTTTTGTCAAATTTGGATGTGTGTACATTTCTAATGCTGACGCCCAATGAGGAATTTCCATATAATTATTTCTTTTTGTTTTTTTCCCAAACATCCAAGAGTGCTCTCCTAATATAATGCCTCCAGAAGTACTGATGGACTAAATGTTTTTCCTCCCATAGAATAGTGTGCCACCCTGTCTGTAAGTCATGATCTTCTAGTGCCAATAGTCTTGTGTTTTTAGGATGCGTCCACTCACTTAGCCAAACCAACGCCTGATAATACTTTGTCCAGTCTGGTAGGCCAAATCCTCCTCTTTCTCTAGCATCTTGTAATAATTTGACTCTCGGTCGTTTCCCTCGCCATATGAATTTTGAAATGAGTCTGTCCAAATTTATAAAAAAAATCTTTTTTATTGTTATGAATTCAAATAAAAACAACATTTTCGGAAGGACATTCATTTTGATGGTGGCTATCCTGCCCATTAGAGATAGCTATAATTTCCCCCATTTTTCCAAATCAGACCTAATTTGCACCATTGTCATAGTTACCTTCTTTAAGTGTGATGTATCTCGCTGTCCATTGAATCCCCCAATATCTTATTTTTTTTCGTCAGACTTCCTGTTTAATTTTTCACATTTACGGTAAGTCTCTTTACTTTGCAAGAAAAGAAACAGGAAACGTGTTTGAGAAATGAGTTCCACAACCATCCAGCAGAGGGCAGCAAAGACCCCTCTTGGTCCTTCACTTCTCTGTGCAGATGTTCCCCAACTAGACAACTTTTAAGATTTCTGGACTTCAGCTCCCAGAAATCCAGAGCCTGCTATGCTACTTGAGGAATTCTGGGAATTGAAGTCCAGAAGTCTTAAAATGGGCAAGTTTGGAGACCCCCTGTTCTCTAGAGCTGCTTCTGCTCATAGGGAATTTGGCAGATGCTCCCCCAGAATGTGCATTCCTGCAATTTGCACCCCTTTTCCAAGAGAGGGTTGGGGTCTTCCGGAAGGAGGCACTTCTTCCTCCCACTGCCCTCCTCTATCTTCTCTTGTTAAGGTTAGAGACCCTCCCCACTCCCCACCCCATGGTTAGGGTTGGTCTAAGAGGAGGGATCCAGAGGTGGACCTCGGACTCTCCAAGACAACTGAGATTGCCAGACTCCGATGATGCTGTCAGAAATCAGGAGCGTCTGCAGGATTTCATCAAAAGTTGAGGTGGTGCCACAGGGGAGCCATTGAAGCTCTGTCCATCTTGTAGGCATCTCCAGTCGACTTTCTCATGTTCGGTCCAGCCTCTACTTCCAGCCTTTTCCAGCCAAAAGGGTCGCTGGAGTCTGGGCTCCCCTGGCCCTCTTTTCCACCCATCCAGGAGCCTTCTCCTGCCACAGTCCGTCCTTATGGCTGCCAGTCCACCCTGATCCCTTGCTCAGGCAGCTCCAGTTGCTTCGGCCAGCTGGACTCTGCTGTCTTGTCCTTCCAGCCGGTCCCTTCTGAAGTCTCCTCTCAGCAGGCAGGTCATGCGGTGGGATGGTGGTTAGATGGCCAGTCAGCTCTTCCTTCCTCTTCCTCACTGTTTTCTGGACGACTGGACTCCCAGGAGCAACACACCCTCCACTTGGATGAATGGTGCCTGGGCACCTTCCTCCTTGCTTCCACCAGCAGTCTTCCATAAAAGAAAGGCCTGGGCTGAAGCCAAGTAAGCCTCGGAGGTGCTTTGCCACCCCACCTGCTGCTGCACATGAAAGATGCCTCTGAGGAGCCCAGGTAAAGCAGCCCAGTGCCAAAAGCTCTGCCCGCTTACACCATGGTCTAGTGTTTACATTCAACCCCTCTGCGGTTCTTTCCTGTGAATCTGGAACCCGGTGCCTTCTCCCCAGGAGGTGACACGCAGCTGGATCCAGGTGGTGGTAAATGGCTTCCTTGAGGGAGGGAAACTTCCCGACTGCCCTGAAGGAGGTGGTGGTGAGGCCCCTCCTCAAGAAGCAGGCCTTGGATCCAGCTGTTTTAAGTCATTTTCATCCAGTCTCCAACCTCCGCTTTTTAGCAAAGGTTGTTGAGAGTGTAGTGGCGCATCAGCTCCCGCTGGCCCTGGATGAAGTGGATTACCTCGACCCGTACCAATCGGGTTTCAGGCCCAGGTACAGCACGGAGATGGCATTGGTCGCGCTGGTGGATGATCTCTGGAGGGCTCAGGACAGAAATTATTCCTCTGTTTTGGTCCTATTGGATCTTTTGGCGGCTTTCGATACCGTCGACCACGGGATCTTGCTGCGTCGCCTTGAGGGGCTGGGAGTGGGAGGCACCGTTTTATGGTGGTTCTCCTACCTCTCAGGTCGAATGCAAGCAGTGTTGGCAGGGGGGCAGAGATCGACCTTGAGGCCCCTCATTTGTGGGGTGCCCCAGGGGTCGGTTCTCTTGCCCCTTCTGTTCAACATCTATACAAAACCGCTGGGGGAGATCATCTGTGGTTTCGGGGTGAGGTATCATCAATACGCTGATGATACTCAGCTCTTTATATCCACCCCAAACCAGTCCAGTGATGCCCTCGACGTGATGGCCCGGTGCCTGGAAGCGGTACGGGTCTGGATGGGTAGAAACAGACTTCGACTCAACCCTGCCAAGACCGAGTGGCTGTGGGTACCGGCATCTCGGTTCATAGGAGAGGTTCCATCGTTGGCTATAGGGGGTGAAGTTTTACCCCCTGTAGATAGGGCACGCAACTTGGGTGTCCTCCTGGACTCACTGTTGAGTCTAGAAGATCATATAATGACCGTGACCAGGGGGGCATATGCCCAGATCCGTCTGGTGCGCCAGTTGCATCCCTACTTGGACTGTTACGCCCTACACTCATGCATTAGTCACCTCACGTATTGACTACTGTAACACTCTCTACATGGGGCTGCCCTTGAGGGCCACTCAGAGGCTTCAACTGGTACAAAATGCAGCCGCGTGGGTTGTGATGGGAGAATCCCGATACTCCCATGTTACACCCTTCCTGCACGACTTGCATTGGTTGCCGGTTGCCCTCCGAGTGAGATTCAAGGTGCTGGTGTTGACCTATAAAGCCCTACATGGCTTAGGCCCAGGATATTTGGCGGACCACCTGCAGCCAGCAATGACATCCCATCGCCCAGTCCGCGCCCATAGAGAGGGCCTGCTCAGGGTGCCGTCGGCTAGACAGTGTCGGCTGGCGGCCCCCAGGGGTAGAGCCTTCTCTGTGGGTGTGCCCACCCTCTGGAATCGACTCCCCTTGGAGCTCCGGTTGGCTCCTGACCTTCGCACCTTCTGCCGCGAATTAAAAACTTGGTTATTCAAGTTCCCCGACCTGGACTGATGGGGTTTTAAGGGTTTTAAATTTTAGTGGGTTTAATCAGATTTTAATTTGTATTGTGGCTTTGTGAATTTTATTATTGTGAGCCGCCCTGAGTCCATTGGAGATAGGGCAGCATATAAGCCAAATAAAATATATGAATAAATTCAAATGCAAATGCAAATGATTGCAGTTTGGAGTAAGCATAGCCCCAGGGTTGTTCCACAGTCTCATGGAATGCTTCCTGCAGGGAATCGAAGGAGTCATTCCCTATTTTGACAATGTGTTGATGTCAGCCAGCAATCAGAAACAACTGCAACAGCGTGTAAGAGCAGTACTAACCAGATTTCAGGAGGTGGGTTGAAAGGTGAAAAGGGACAAGTGCCAACTGGCAGAAAGACAAGTGGAGTTTTTGGGATACCTAATCGATGGCTCAGGAATAAGACCCACCCCGGGAAAGTTAAAGGCAATCAGAGAGGCACCAACCTGCGCATGTAAAAAAAACTATTAACTTTGGACAGTATACTAGTGCAGTATAGCAGAAAG